TCTCCTTTGTCATCTCTACTAATTTCTTTTCAGAAATGTTGTGAGAATTTGATTATATACTTATTCTTTGTACCATGGTATCTGTGCAACTTGCCTCCTGATAATTGTAGTCATTGATATTTGTGACTGATTTAGTGTTATTCTCTTTCAGATTTTTGAATGTAATCGCATGAAGTTTAGTGAGATTCCTCAGCGTTTGAGTTCTTTGTTATTGCCTCCAGATCCCATTGTTATTCATCACCTTATAAGGTAAACTATGATATTTAACAATTATTCCATGAGCATGCATTGGATATGAGATGATAGATAGCCAACGAGGTGCATAGCGCCTCGTTGGCTATAATCATCTCATATCCAACAAGCCAAGTAGAATAATTGTTTTATTAAAAAAAGGCCCCCAAGATATGAGGCAAATCTTCTCAACTTTATTTTGTAGGAAGAAACTGGATGTTACAATGTACAGATATTAGATTATGGTATATTGGCTCATATACCATAATGGCTAAGCCAATTGAAAGTCTTGAATTGCATTATCCAATGATCCAGTTTTTAATAATATCCATTAGGCGAGGTATAGGAGCAAGCACTGTGGTTTAAAGTTCTCTTTTGTTGTGGACTTTTTATGAATTTTAATTTGAATTAGTCTTCTTTTCCTCATAGCAAAGAAACACCTGAAAGCAAGAGAACAACTTGCTATGACATTGAAGTAGAAGTTGTAAGTAAAATTGTTTAGTTTTAACATTACTTAGCAGTGGATCTCTATTACCTAGACATGTAATATCTGTTATGCCATCCTTGCTGGAATTAAACATTTAAGTCTTAAAGTAGGTTTCATACTTTAACTCTCAAGTTCTGCTTGTTAATTCTCCCCTCTGGCTGCTACACATTTCCTTGTAAATTAGTTATGAGAATTTGGTGTTAGATCAAGATAACAACTTCTACCTGATAAGTTCGATTATTCTTATTACTTGTTTGCTGGATGATGTTAGGATATTATTGGGAGAAGTTACATGTTAATCACCCCTAGGAGTAAAAGGTTAAAAACTCCAATATGATCCAGGCCACCAGAACAGCACAGTAAAGCTTTAAGGAACAAAAACATTTGTAGAAACAATGCATCTCTAAATCAAGTTGGTATGTTTACAAGGTAGACAGTATACAAATGTAGTGCTTGGTTTGCTGTTTCAGTTAGTTCATTGTGTATTTCTTGTTGTAGGATGACACACTTAAGGCCCAGATGCAGTCTTTTCTTCTTTCTACTGCGAGTCAGAATGAGATTACTGCATATGACAACAAGGTGGGCTGAGTTTTTTTGTGTCCTTCCACAGAGTTGAAGAGTTTTAAAAAAAAAGCCAACAGTGTCAAGAGTTTTAACTCTTGCCAAAGTGCCACTGAAAATTAAGTTCCTGTATCATTCCTCTTTTTTTTTGCTTTATTTTGTTTTGCAGATTTATGAGACAGTGGAGACAATCAATCAGTTGAAGATCAACCGCGAATTCTTCCTTGGGTTTGCAAGAGATCCTCCAGTAAGTATGTTGCTCTGTTACCTGTGAAGTAATTTCAAGAAACAGTTTGCCATTTTTGGGAGAAATGTTACATGAAAACATAAGCCCATGAAAGTGCTGTTGCAACTCATTGTCTCTTTTCAATAGTATTCAGTTCTGTTTTGTTGCACTGACAAATATCCTTGGTCTCCGTATTTAAGGAATTCATTAATCAATGGATACAGTCCCAAAGTCAAGATCTCAAGGTAAATATGTTAGCATGTTGCACTGTGTAGTTGGTTAAAGGTCTCTGAATATTGTTGGCAGTTAACATGAACGGAATCCTGTGTTCTGATTGGCTTGTCCTTATTGTGGCAGTGCTTGGTCTGCATATGCCCAAGTTCTCTCTTTCGCACTGGTTGATTTTCCTGTGGTACTTGTCTATGGTCCAAAGACATTGGTTGTTTTATTATGTGACAGTGGTTGGCTTTCCTGTGACATCTCTTGTCGGCCAGTCTTGATGTGGCTGTGGATTGTTCCCTTTGTGACCTTTTTGGGTATCCTGCAGCACCACCTGATGGCACTGTTGACCTCCCTATGGCACTAGATGACCTCCCTATGGCACTAGTTGACCTCCCTATGGCACTAGTTGACCTCCCTATGGCACTAGTTGACCTCCGTATGGCACTAGTTGACCTCCCTATGGCACTAGGTGACCTCCCTATGGCAGTGGTTGACCTCCCTGTGGCACTGGTTGACTGCCCTGTGTCATTATTTTCAGGTTATGACTGATGTGGTCGGAAATCCAGAAGAAGAGCGTAGAGCAGATTTCTTTCATCTTCCCTGGTCACAAGAAGCAGTTTGCCGCTACTTTTATGGAAAGGTAGTTATCACCGAGAAACTTTTAGTCTGTTTAGGCCAAGTGTTTATTTGTAGCGCACTATGAAAGTTGTTTACGTAAACTGAATTGCTCCTCAAAACATCTGCACTTTATGACACAGCTAAAGGCTTTGTAGTTGTCCATTCATAAGGCCAAAGTTCTGAATTTCTTTTTGTTCATTTAATGTAGGTTCAACAGAAGAGAGCTGAGTTGGAACAAGCCCTGGGCATCAGAGGAACTTAATGCGAGACTCGTGCTAATCACATGATCACCTCTGGTTATTTGCCCGTGAAAAGCACGTGACTACGACGTGTTGAGAGCAAGACGTGTGCAAACTCCCTCCAAGTTTCGCTGATTCGCATTACCACGTGTCATGAAGGGACTGTTCCGAGTTCAATTTGAACACCACTGAAGGTTGAAATTACTAGATAAGGTTTTTTAACCGTGTCTCCGCTTTCTTCCTCTAGTATTATGTATCAACTTACTTCGAGCCTTATGGGGCTCTCTTTAGCGTGGTAGTTGTATAATAAACCTGATGACTTACCTGTATATGCTAGTTTTTATGCTCTCTCCACTGAGGTCTCGCCCGACTAATGGAAATAAACTTCAAAATCCCAGCTCCCTTTTGTTTTTGTTATATTGAGCTTGTTTCAAAAAGTCTGCACCAAAGATTAAACAATTCACAATTTTATGTTCTTGCGAAATTTCAAGGGTTACTCTCCTTAACCACTGAGGTCCAAAGATAACGCGTGTTTTTTCTGATCAAATTTGGCGCGGAACTCGCTGAGCTAATCAGATACGTTATTTTGGTGTCACATGTGCTCACCTGCTAGAACCCTGCTAGTGTTTTTTCTATCAGTAATAAAAGCTTCTGCGAGTGCTTGATCAGGACAATTGTATTTTTCATCATCGATTGATCCATCTGAACAGTTTTGAACGCCGTACGCATAGGACACTTGACGAATTTCTGTGAAATGCACCGATTTTTTGTGCACCCAGTGTGAAGAAACATTTTGTTTGTGAACATGGGCTCAGAGGATCTTCCCTGTGCACCACCAGCCGGAGCTTCTCGTATTTGAAAGACGCAAGAAATTAAAGAAGTGAAAGCTGTTAAAAGTCACATTCTGTCTTTTAGTGGCTATATTGGACAGGGACCGTGTTTCGTTGGATGGTCATGTCAAAGGAACTTCCCAAGTAGTACTTCCTAATAAGACGGCATTTTATTATTTGACGAAAGCTATAGCTAAAGGGAATGCACCCTTACAAAGATAGCATTTATCTTTGGTTATTTCGTAATTTTAGTTCGATGAATTCTGTTCGCTGTAACACAAAGCACAGCCTTAAAACACTGAACATAGATTTGAAGGCCGAACATAGCGTTGAGTGGATATTTTTCGGTAACAGTGTTCATTTTGATCACAATTCAGCAAAAACTAAATCCAAACAATGAAAAAAGTTTAAAGCACCTATAGAACTGCGTTCAAAACTTTGCTTTAGACGGCTTTCCAGAGAACTAGTGGCACGACGCACACAGTTTTGTACGGAAGAGTACTTTGTGATGTTTACGATCCATTCGTCAGTATTAGACGATGAATCACATACGTTAATGTTTGGTTTGGGGTTATAGGTTAAGAACTAACTGGCCACAAGCAAAGAACTTTTGTTTATCTAAATTCTGACCAATCTGAAAAAGATTGTTCGGTTCAACTAACAAAAGAGCTATCATCGGGAAAAGTAAACTGAAAGTGTCACCGATAAAATGGGCGAACATGAAAAACAGGCTAAATAAACTTATTTCTTTTAAGTTGTACTACACAAATATCTGTATCAAACGGCTCAAAATTCACCCCACCCCAGCCCTAAAAGAAAAAATGTCCCAGACTTTGTAGAGATCATGTTTACCAATAAAGCGTCAAACCGCGTCATGGGGTTGAAATGTTTTACAGAAATTCGCGTGAAAACAACTAGAATCTCCTGTACAAATGACATGGTCGGAAGAGATAATTGTGTTACACAATCTTCTTTTTCTGTTGAACACTTTCATTTTGTCCGAAGGAGAGGAACGCAAAATCGCTGAAGTGAAAATTTTGACAACTGGTGATTTTCCCAACGAATCGAAGCGTTACACGCGAGGAAAAAGGGGCACTTGCTCTGTTGTTTATTGAAGATAATGGTGGCAGTTTTTTGACACCTGTTTGGCTCCCGGAAAAGCAGCGAAACAACCAATCGAGAACAAAGAATGACGTTTCGTTTCACTGAGTCTCTGGTTTTGCAACTTGTAAATAATTCAATTTTGACAGGTTTCCTAAGGGTAGAATTTTTTTCTACTTTGGTGTAATCGATATGAAAAATAACACAAAGCTTGAGTGGAGAACCGGGCATTACCTTCATTTTGGGCAGATACTTCGGGATTTTCCGTTAAGATTTTAATTTCAGGTATTTCAGTTTATGATTGGTAGCACTATATTCCGCGACTTTTACAAGTTCTCTCGCGCATGCGCTTGAGGCATAGCTGCGTTAAATTCCTCACTAAATAACAAAAGAGCGTGAAACAAAAGGAACTGTGGAGCGTGATATAACACGTTCGGGTTTGTGTATAATTGATGACTTCCAGGGTATAAATCAGAAAGGAGCTTTATTCAAGCACATTTCAAGATCGCTTCGCTGGGATCCAGAGGTAGGGACTTGAGTTGAGATTTTTTTTTTTTTTTATTTCATAACTGACATTGACTATAAATGTTCGCATAGGCAATCGTCAGGTAAACTAAATTATTTTCTTGACGCTTGCTTTTTCCCCATTTTAAAGTCAGATAAATATTGAGCAAAAATTCAAGCACAAACCCTACAAAGAGAACAACTTGTGATTCTTTATTATCTTCGATGTTAAGTTATTGAAATAGGGAAAGGTGATTTGGAAGCAATTCTGAAAGTTAAGATTATTTTAAGAATAAGTCAAGATTGCAGACAGTTTGATTTAAATATGAAATGGAAAAGTTTTACGATATTTCTCTGCCTTGTTTCAGATGGCGTCTAAACTGATCCTAGGATGCCTAGCGCTCATGGTAGCATCAACTTATGCTAGATCAAGTAAGTTTAAATATTTTTATTTTCAATTTTTGTTCTCGTCAAGCAGCTTTACCGTGATAAAATTTAGCCGAGATGCGAGCAATACAATGGCATCAAATCAAGGATTATTTCAAATGGTTATAACCTTTAAATCATAACTTATTTTCCTGTACCTACGGAGAATTATTACACCAGACAGATTACATCTGTCATTAAAATGGAGCAGATTTTCAAATCATAAAAAAAAGGCGATTGAGGTTCTTCTCAGAAGCCGCTTCTGTGAACCTACAAAAGGCTCGGTGATGAATAATTGATTATCGGCGAATTAAAAGATAAAGGTGTTCTCGATCGATCAACCTTAAGATATTTGTTTAAAGTTGATCATTAAAGCGCAAAGTTAGGAATGTATCGTAACGATAATACAATTATATCATCAAGTAAAATATTTTAATGATATTTACAGCTGTGACATGTATCTCGCACCTAAAGAAATACTTAAACTTGAAGTAAAAATTTACGTAAACTAACCAAAGCTTAGATAGCGACGTGAAATTTTTTAGGAAGTTAAAGTTTTTCGTCCATTGCTTGTGCGTCTCTCAAAGTAATTCCTATCTACGAAAAACTGAATTCTGATTGGATAGTTAGCTTTTGCAAAAGCGGGTTCCCGTCAAAACCTGCAAGTTAGTGAAGCGAGAAGTGAAAACATTTTCTTTTGTACTATTTATAATTCATTTACCCACCAAACTTGGTATACCATGCCAAAATCAAACTTTTTCAATCGATATGCGAGTTATTTTGAGTAATTAATCAATGATAACAATTTGAACAAAGTATTTTCAAAAGCTTCTAAAGTCATAACTAGACGACATAAATCAAACCGTTCGCATTTTTAACTGGACCTTGCAAAGTAGGGTATTTTCTTAATTCAAATTTAATAATAAAAATGGTAGGTAAAGAATAGTGACCTTGAACTTGTCGTGGTTTTGGCATTACCGTGAAAAGTTATTAAAAAGAACTATGAAGATCCTAAAATAAATTCTCAATTCCCATGTTTCATAGAATTGATCAAAATATCTGGAACCAGTTAGAGGCATAACGTCTTGTACAGTCTCCAAGGAAATTAAACGTATTTTTCTTTTCTCTCTCTCTCTCTCTCTCTCTTTTTTGTCACGCAGCATACAAAAGAAACGCTAACCCTTGTCCCCCGGGATGTCCCGGTAGCTGTGCGCCCGCTTGTGCGGTATCCTGTTGTATGCCTCCACCACCCGCACCACCACCGCCCCCACCTCCACCTCCACCACCACCAGAGCCAGCTAAGCCAGGACCCCCCGGACCTTCAGGAAGAATGGGACCTCCCGGACCAGTGGGACCTATCGGACCCATGGGAGAGGCCGGACCTCCAGGACCACCCGGACCCCAGGGACCCCCAGGACCACCCGGAGAGCCAGCTCCTCCACCACCACCACCTCCTCCGTGTCCTCCAGTGTGCGCCCATACCTGTGTCTCATCCTGCCCGACCTCGTGCTGCTCTGGCAGAAAGTAAACGACCACGTGGTGATGCGACGTCATTGGCACGAAAATTAGTTCTAACTTCTAAGTTTAGCGTTCGTAAAGTACTTTTTCAGTGGATTTTTTTTTTGTTGTATTTGCTTTGTACAAATGAAATAGAAGGCAGAGAGAAGACGAATTGCTGAAAGTTCATTCGTAGGTGTGTGTAAGCACGAGGAACATTCAAATAAAAAAATATTTACTTTGTTTGATTAAAACTTTGTCTGCTTTTCCCTTGTCTTCAAATGGTAATCTACGCCATTCATTACGGACTCGTCCAAGCCAGGGGCGCCGCAGTTTCTCCGAATGGAATTTTATCGACAAAAAAAAGGCCTGTTTACGTTAACAATTATATCCGAAAAAACTGAAACACTGAACTCAAATTTAAATGAAATTTCGAATGTGAAACATGGCGTCAGTGCAGATCGTTCACCCAATAATTTACTGTTTGTGTCTTTTGCTTTCGTATTTATCTCATTTATAGTGTTTCTAGTATTTTTACAGAATGTATTCTTGTCAACTCAACTGAACCTCGTTTACCTAGCGCATAATTTGGCTTTAGTTTGTAAGAAATCGTCCGCGCAGATAGTTAATGTTCGTGCGACCGGAAAAAAAGTTTAAAACCAACAGAGAAAAAAAGATAAGTAGGTACATTGGTTTTGAGAAATAATTTAACGTGTAGATTTCTTTTGAATGCATGTGAGTAACAATTTAATTAAAGTTGATAATAAGATCGCATCAGTAATAATGTCTTCACTCTCTGAACATTTCAGTTTTTCATGCAAAGGTTGGTAATTACGATGAAAAAGTAAGAGCGCAGTTCAATTTTTAAAACTCCACCAGGAAGCTCTTTCCTTAAAATTTCGAAATTTAAATTTCTGGTGAAGCCACAACTACAGCCAGTCAGAATGCAAAACGTTAAGGCGCGGTATTTCCCTTGTGGGTAAATGTTCCCGAAATACATTTTTATAACTAGCAAGTAGTTTAAGTCTTTCATAGAGATCCAACGAACAAAACATGAGATGTACATACTAAAACCAGGATTATACAGATAGGAAAATATGCATGATGTCATATACGGACAACGAGGATAGAAATTTGTCAAAATTGTCCGAATAAATTATTTGTATTCAGTTAATAACAATGTACATCGCTTGCTCGTGTTCCAGTATTTCCAGCATTGTACAGTTCAGTGACTTCTGGTTTTAGCTCTGCGCAGTTCCAAATAAATTCAAAAGTATTTGGGCTCTTCAAGAGCCATTGCGAATGGTTTTTGACAATAAAGTCCTGCAAACTCGTTGCCCTTGAGAAAATAAACCACAACCACTTTTTAATAAACGAATAATTCTGTTTCACCTTGGTGGTTGTTTACAGCAGAATTTCAAAATCAGCGAAAAACACCTGGCAACGCAAAAAGAAGGACAGATGCAAAAAATCCGAGGAAGCCTGGGTCTAAGCATAGTTTCACACCAATGTTTGTGCATGTGGTATGGTTTCCCGAGTTGTTCGCGGGTCTTACATCTTCCTCGTTGTATTTCGCAAGCGATCCTGGTTTTGTAAAGTTCAGTATCTTTGGATAGTAGTTGTTCCAAAACGCCATTCTACGTGGTTCATAGAAAGCTTCCATCTGAGATCTGTTGTTGATACGTAAATACAACTTACTGCTCAAGTTGAACCTGTCCCAGACAAGCCCACGTACCTGGTGAGGTGTAGGGTTCCCGTGCTTGGCAAAGTTCGCATAAAGTTCCATGATTAAGTGACTTACATTCCGATCTTCATCTGTGAAGTTCAAGGCGCTGCTGTTCAGAAATGGCGCACCAAACACGTAGGGCGTGTTATCCCCATGTGCTACCCCCTTCCAGGCATCCGTACCAGTTTCTGTAGACCTGTGGTTGAACTCAAACATGTAAGCGTCGGCATGCGCGCTATGGATCCCCAGCACCTCCAGAGTGGGGGCTGCCACGAAGTAGTCTGACTGAATGTTGACGATTTCTTGACGGAGGGAGGGTGAGTTAGGCGTTTTACTCCAAGGAGTGTACTGGAATTCAATTGCATCCTCTATAATCCCAGTGGTTTTGTTATTATGCAGTCTCTCTTTTTCCACGAAGGAGTCGATAAATTCTCTAAAGTCAGAAGGCGTAATTTCTTTTGGAGGATATAATTCCGGGGGGGTGTTGTGCGCGCCTTCATGACTGTTAAAACCACTTATGAGGGGAACCTTGGAGAATTTTCCAGATCCACGAAGATTCTCTGGTGTATCATAAATGAAGTAGCTGTCAATGACCGGCCCTGTGTTTTGCCATTCAAATTTCTCGATGAAACTCTCAGCGCTTTTGTTCCGAAGACAATCCATCATGCTTTTACTACTGGTCGTATCACAGTTAAGCTTCTCTGCTGTGATGTTAGTCTTTTCAACAGCTTTTTTCACTGAATTAAAGGCAAATGGCGAAAATTCCACGCCACTCTCGGTTATGGCTCGATGAAAAAGTCCCTCTGAGAGTGGTGACAAGATGTGCAGGCCAACACTGGCCCCACCGGAGCTCACCCCTAATATGGTGACTCTTTTCGGATCTCCCCCAAATACCTCGATGTTTTCTTTTATCCACTTAAGGGCCTCTAATTGATCTAACATTCCCCAGTTTCCACGCGCAACACCATCACCAGCAGTCATAAAGCCAAAAGGACCAAGGCGGTACTGGATCGTGACGAGGACAACGCCCAAGCGGGGCAGTACCTCTCCGGGTGTGGTGTCACGAGCAGTTGTCCCATATACATAACTCCCTCCGTGAATAAACATTATAACAGGATGAAAACGACTCGCACTTGATGGCTTTTTTCCTGGAGTGAAAATATTCAAATGCAGGCAGTCTTCATTTGAGTCATTTTCCCAAGAAAATTCCGGCCAAACATTGCGAATGGACCTTTCAAAGTAAGAAGAATAATTTTGCGGGCAAACGTTCCTGAAAAAGGTTGCATTGTATGTTCGAGGCTTCCATGCAGCTGGGGGTTGGGGCGGTTTAAATCGAAGTTGATTCACTGGCGGTGAGGCAAAAGGAACTCCAAAAAATGAGTTAACGGATTGAAATTCGCCAATTTCATTCGAAAAACGCGTCGTTTTTCCGAGAATTTTGCCATACTGAGTTTCAACGATTACTCTGCCGGAAAGGTTTGTGATTCCAAATGAAAAGCACTCGACCACAATGAAGACCACAATCGACCAGCTCTTCTCTTGTGTAATCCAGATCATTTTGAATATATCCCTTCAGTTCTTAATTTGCAGGCATTGCGGAGGAGGATATCTAAATGACACAAGTCGAATGTGCTAAATCCACTTTAAAGTGGATGCATTCGCCAAAACACCTTTTATGGCTGCGATATCCGCCGCGAACAAATTTTTGGTTCTGTTTAGATGTTGCGTCTCTCGGTGGCTTTGCGTGTAACCACAAGCGAATATCATTTCCTTCTCTAGAGGTCGCTCATAATTTGCTGTCACGAGTCATTTCTTTGACAGCCACTCGTGAATCATCCCCTGAGGCAATGCATCTAAACTTGCTCTGATTCGACGTTTTTTAAGGTGATAAAATCTTTACGGCTTTTCTCAAAATCTTTTGCTAATTGACTGCCATTTACCCCAAAAGGCATATTTATGACCAAAGAAAAAACTTGGGCTCCTGTCGACAGCGCACGCAATGAATATGAAAAATGATACATCTCCTTTTCATCGTCGCTTAAGATTTGGTGTGCTCTCCTAATTTGAACGTGGATATAGCAAAAATTTTGATCTTTCAGCTATTAGTGTTTAGGTCAGCTCGCCAAGTTTAATTGTCGAAAGATGAAACAAATGTAAATTATCACAAAAAATGTATCTTTTAACGATGCGGGAAGAAAACTTTTATCATGGTAAAACTCCACTTAAAGAAAGCTGTAATTGAATTAGATGTTAGAAAGTTATCTTTAAAGAAACTGCGTCTGAATTTGACAAGAGCTTTGCCATAGAAATCGATCACAAACTGCTTTTGTTCTAGTTTTAAATATGGGTACAGTTTTTTTTTTTTTTTTTTGAAAGCAGCCTCTGTCTATTTGGAGCGTGTGAATTAAACTTGATGGGCTATCGTTTCATAGTGTCAAATTTAAAGAAGAGTTGCGGTCTGAAACAAATCAAAATCTAGTCACAAACAATTTCAAAGTAATATCTTTTCAAATATCATCCGATCTCTCTCTGAGATGGAAAGTATCTCAGAAATTGCCCGATAACATGACATGTAATCACCACAGTTTAAGATCTTAGTCTTCGACCTCAATATTACTAATTTTCAAATGTGTTTATCTAAGATCCTTTAATTTCACGCATTAAATTGATTGAAAACAGGTTAGTTCAGTGGCTCATAGTGAAAAATAAATGAATAAAAAAAAAAAAAATAGATGAAATCGAACCAGTAGATTCCGCCACAAGTTTTGACTGAACGATCAGATACTTTATGAAAATTCGAGACATTCAAATATAAAAGAAACGAAACAAAATTGAACTCAATGATTAAGTCAGACTCTTAACAGGAAACTGTAGTTTTAAAGTGTCGGAGCTGAATTCGCATTTATTAGTAAGAATTTCAAGGGTTTAGAGAACCCTTGAAAAAACTCCTTATTTCCTGATTGGAATGACAAGCCATCAGATTGCTGAAAATGAGGACCCAAAGAATTAAAAGCAGAGACGTTATTTTAAATTGGGTACTTAATTCACAGCCACGCTACATCTCTTGGCAGAATGAACGATGGAAACATGATTAATTACTTCATTAATAACTGTCTTTCTTGACAAACTGAAATAATAATTTTAATCAGCAGAGTTGAACATGAGGGATCACGGCATATTTCATTTCACTATCCATGGTACCACACCCGGGACACGGTACCACACCCGGGACACGGTACCACACCCGGGACACGGTACCACACCCGGGACACGGTACCACACCCGGGACACGGTACCACACCCGAGACACGGTACCACACCCGGGACACGGTACCACACCCGGGACACGGTACCACACCCGGGACACGGATCGTTTAACTAAGTAAAGAGATAGGAGTAACTTGATCTCTGCCTCTAGTGAATAAGCTTCTTCATGTAACGGTTTTAGTCTGCTACAGACTACATAAAGTTAAGAACAATCCTGATTCTTTAAAAACTTCACCTCACTAGTCCAAGCAGCACTTGTGGAACTAACACGACCGTTTCAAAGTCAAAACAGTTAGCCTTGAACGACAAACACGTAACTGCGCGAACAGTACATCTCATCGTCCAAAACACGATCCACGAAATTTCTTATCAAAATCGTGATATTATGGTAAATTATGGAGTTTCTCTTTAAATTCAAGACTGAAACTTTACCGATTATCTGACAAATTTATCGCAAATTTGCAGAAACATGCTTTCGTGATTTAGGACTACCTGCGCACTTATTGCGTGTAGGCATTAGTCCATAGTTAGTCCCCTATGATTAGTCTGACGTTTAACAGGGGTCATTTTTTGTTTTTCTTTATCTACAGGAGTTCATGAAATCTTTTCAGGTGTTTTCTTGTCATATCTGTCATAATTATGGGATTTTCATCGTGTCTTGAGTCGTAAATTAATGGTTGTTTTGCAACAGAAGAGAGATTTTACTTATGTTTCTCTCAACGAGTATCTTGTTCCTCCTTTACCTTGCGTTATTACAAGAGATCAAACTAATGGAGGATTAAGGTTAGATGGCTTGGATTTCAAGTCCTACATAATCCGATTGCCAGGGCGAAGCGAAGATTTAATTGAACAAATCAATCGACGTTCACTTTGTCCACGCAGTTAAATTTTCACTCGAAATTGCTGCACTTCGTCAATCTAAGCCAACCTCGCTCTCAAGGGCCTGTGGTCCGGTCAACAGCCGAGCTCAGGAATATTGGCATAGAAAGGTACATTATATTAATATTGCTGGTAGTACGCATGCCTAAGTGTTTTCGATTTTAGCTTTCCGAATTTTCTTCTACGAACGAATGCAAGTGAAACGACCAAGGAAACGTATCCGTTACGATGTGTTACGTTCGGATAATTTTCTTCCTCACACCAAGCAATCGGTCGACTTTCGTGGAAATTACAAAGGAGTACTTCAAGTAACGAGGCCCTTTTCCAGGAGTGCTATTAAGAATGTATTAATGTGTGAGTAATAACCTCTCTAGAACAGCTTAGAGGCATTTTTTTTCTTTTACACTTCGAAAAATTCTTATATCTCAGCGCAAACCGTCGCGTGAGTCGAAAGAAATAAGGACCCTAAGCGAACCACGACGGCGACAGCAACAAGGACGTGGAGAAAAAAAAAGATCTAATTGGCAGAACAATAGCTCAGCACGGGCGTTTTAAAACTTTGTACATTTCTTAGCCGTCCCCTGCAAAACAACAACGTGAAGTCACCAAAATTTGAGTCATCTGTGAACTGAAACCGCGCGACGGCAAATTATTTTAATTTCCATTTGGAACTCAACGCTACTTTTATACGTTATGCTGTAGTTGAGGTGTGGCGCCGTATGAGACGGTAATCACGTGCAGCCACTTTCGAAATTATAATTGAAAGTAGAAATTCATTTTACAATCGACATCTTCCTTCGCGTTGCCGTCCTGACTGCTTAAGGTTCCTAATATCTCCACGCAACGGGAACTCTGGGAAGCGGAGCGCGCACTAAAGAGGGACTCACTTTGAACACTCCTTTTCACACGTCTCACTCTCAGAGTTCTGCGCGACGCCGAATTAATTTTTTTATCTGATTTGGCCCGCGGGTTAACAGGGACTAAAGGCTGCTCCTAGTCTAGTGTTCCTCTTGTGAGTAATCCTCTTTTTACGACATTAATGCAAACAATTTGATTTATTTGCTAACATTGAATGAAGGGAAGTAAATCAGACCTACACAGGCTCAACCAAGGACAAAAAGTGATACAACAGACGTTGACATACAAATCCTTGTTCGGAAAAAAACAACGGGTTTTCTTTGTCAAACTGAATTGTATTATTAAATCAGCTGTTTCTCATCAGTTCTACACAAAAACTTCATCTGTTACGGCGGCTTGTATCGGGAATGTGCTTAAAGTACATTTCACTCCATTTAGAGGCGTTTTTCATACTTTACTGGCAATCATTCAACATTTTAAACAATAACTTAGACGCTTGTCGCGCTCTGAATACTATCGACCCACGCACGGATACTTCCTCCTCCGGCTTCCCTATTGATAAAGCTTATAGTCTGTTTCGCTTCATGGTGAGATTATTCGGAGTCAAGGGCCGTATATACAAAGTACAGGGGCAGCAAAAGTAGTCGGCGTGAGTTCACCTCGGTTGCTGCACCGGAGCGAGAACATCATTCTCGAAAGAAACCCTGCAACCCTTGAGAGCTTCCCAAAGTATAATCTAATCTTTTTCAAAGAAAGTTATCAGGATCGTTTAGTTTGTCTGGTTGACTAGTAAATGGTTAGAACGCTATCCTCGTTCAATGTAGATGTAAAGAAAAAATCCATTAACTAAGATGTTTGCGAACAGTATAAGTTCATGGTGGTCGCTATTGTGACCATGCCTGAGAAAATGGGTCTAAGCTTTGGTTCATAAAACACATAATTTTGTTTTTTTACCCTCAAGCATAAATAAGGTGAAAACTGTTTCAAGATAAGTGATTTTGAATACTTCAAGTTTAATAGACGGAATGATAGTATGCAGTCTTATTATTGTTTGAGTCATTTTGGCTTCAGAAGAGTAGTAAGACTGTAAATGGTTTGAACCCGGGGGTAACATGTGAAGGTGTAGTCTGATCGTCCGGGTGAGTGTAGTCCTGAGAAGGACTGTTGTCGGTGGGAGTCACTACCACCGACAACAGTCCTTCTCAGGACTACACTCACCCGGATGATCAGACCACACCTTCAGTAGTAAGACTACCCACAGGTCTGATGGGGGCACAGCTGATTGAAAATAAGAAAACATTTCTATAAAAATCCTGCATATCAGATTTCACACTTACATTTTACACATTTTGATTTTCACAATGAAGGCAGTTTAAATCCCAAGATCTCCCAAGCACCGCCATTTTTTAAATCGAGTCCTGGTGAACGGAGTTTGAAAAGAAAGACGTCATTTCTCGTCCCGAGGGTTCCTCCTTATAACTAACTGAGCTTACGTCATTTGCCCCTGGAAATCTGGCCGGGGTGTTGGGAAAGGGTTTTCTGATATTTGAAGGCCTCAGGTTTCTTAGGTAAAAAATGTGGAGTGTTTTTACTTTCATAAAGTCGCTCTTAATTTAATTAGTCTGGCATCACTTAGGCCGGTAAACGGAGAAGTGAATAAAAATTCAAAACACACTTATTTGCTTCAGTTTCTCGAGAAAAACATCTGTCGAGAGTGAACGGATTTTTCACAATCCCTTGAGTTCTGACGACATAAAGAATTCCAAATAATTGAAGGGACTTCGAACTCTTTAACAGTTTTTAACGGTTTGTTTACATGAATAACAGCGCTTTTTGATTCATCAAAATTGTCCTTGAAAACATGAGCATCAAAACAAAAATTCATTTCATGAATATTTTTTCTCGTTAGCTATGGGGGCGTGAATGACTTCCGATAATCACTTTGCAAGTGCAGGTCGTAACTCCTACAATAACAAAACTAGCCACCCTACTGTGGGTCTGCTGTGGTACTATTAATTACCTTCCTGAGCGTAACATCTAGTGCGGGACTATTAACCACATGCACGCATTATAATCTTTGAATCGATTTAAAAGCAGATTAATCAAGGTTTTTCGAACGGCAAACACACAGACTAAATCAAGAAACTAAAATTATAATTTAATTCTATTTATTTGGTAGTTGAAAAATATAGAAATATAGAAATGACCGAACCAATCGAAACTTGATACATAAGTTTTGGCGGGAAAAAACGCGCGGAATGTAGCCTTTCGCGCCACATCCTGTGGTGTGCCGCGTCAGAACGCCTCCGTAGGAAATGTTGCCGACTCTTACAAGGTACTTTCTCTCAGTTCTCTGAGCTCTGCCTTAATGAGCTTTGTGTACATGTGTTAGTAGTTATATCATGCAATCAAAAAGTTATATCATGAAATCAAATAACATTTTTTTTTTTGTAGTCTAAGTCTTTTACTGCCTCTTGAATAATATCACAGCTCCCTTGTTTGTAAAAGCAAGGTAATGTCCTGACAATATTATGCAAGGCGCTAGTGAGCTTGTGAAGCTCGGAAAGTTAGCAAATTCTTTCTATCATACTTTTTACAAATGTCTAATTGCTCCTAACGTTATCACGCTAGATTCTATCCAAACGACTGTTTTATAAATCAAATAATGAGTGAGATTCCCTAATTATTTTGTCGCACAATCTGGAATAACATTTGTTTAACCGATGTAACTGATAGTGTTAGTGAAAAAGTGTTTTGACGTTTGTTTTCTCTATTACTTGAAAATCAAGTTATTTCCCTCTATACAATTGGTAAGACTGAATAATTATTCCTTTCTAATGTCTGAAAAAAATTAGGAATCGAAGTGATAAACACTACTGCGTTTAAATGTACAACTTTCTTTCGATGCTGAACCGAGGTGGCTGTGGCGCTGGAAAAAAACATTAGTTGCCAAATCACCAGCTAAGAGCTGAATTGTAATTAAAAACACTTTACACAATGAATTAATTGCAGTAACGCAAACATTTTTTACAATTCCGGAACTCACACCGTGCATTTGAATTCATTACATCAATTGAAGTAAACACGTTTTAACAGCATGCATCTTTTAGCTGTATTACCCTCTTCTTGCCAGGAGTAAGTTCTGCTTGACAAAAAAATCAGATTTCTCCCTTTAAAGTTGATGAAAATTCATCGACCTACTCATTTATAATGTGCTGCGACCGATTATAGTCTAAGATAGTTATGGTAGTTACGTTTAAGATTCGAAAAAAGAGATATAAAATGGGACAGATGGCAGGTTTGAAAACGTGTCGATTTTTCCGTTTCCTTCGTGTAAGTAATTTATTCAAATATTCACCTCAAAAACACAATTGATAACGCGATATTGAGCACTCAGCGCGAAAATAAAAAAACTGAATTATTTCTTTTTATTACCAGGAGGCATTGAAATAATTATGATTTGAGAAAGGTGCTCAATTCAATTATCGTCGCGATTGCTCAACATTTGTTTGTTACCCCTTGTCGGTCAGATCAATAGCAAATATGTACGACAACTTCCGTTAAATTGGCGAAGTCGCAAAACAAACTAACCGATTGAAATTACCTTGTCAGGGCATTTAAACATTGTTTCGTCAGCGAGTGGACAGGTGAACGACATTCAAAGATCACAAGCTTTTTACCAGACAGCCATTTGATCGCAGCCCTAATCAAGGAAAAAATGGCGTTGAAAATCCATGCTCCGCGCAGAATGCTGTTTATGGTGTTCTTGGCGATGCTATTTTACGCGGATCAAGCCGTGGACCCAGGTGTTGTTATCAAAACTAAGCTAGGCTCCCTTCAGGGGCTAACTCAGGTAATTCCTAACGCCCACGGGTCTGCAACAGCCATCCATAAATTTTTGGGAATTCCCTACGCTGCACCGCCAATTGATAAGCTACGGTTTGCGCCACCTCAACCGCACCCGGGATGGAAAGGCGTCCGCCAAGCGACACAATTTAGAAGCATCTGTATGCAGATGATACAACATTACAATGTTTCTATCCGACAGGCTTGGGAAGGATTCGCGGAGGCTGAAGAAAACATTAGCGAGGATTGCCTGTATCTTAATATCTACACACCCCAAAATGCTTCTAGATTTCATCAGCGTTATCCAGTGCTCGCCTACATTCACGGCGGAGGGTTTTTTGCTGGGACACCCGTGCGAGTCGTGTCACCTGGGGAATATTTACCTACTCGTGGCATTATTCTTGTCAGTATTCAATATCGCCTGGGCCCTTTTGGTTTTTTCACAACTGGCGATTCCATTGCACCAGGAAATTATGGAATGTTGGATCAAGTTGAAGCACTGAGATGGATCCAGGGGAACATTGAAGCCTTTGGTGGCGATCCTTCTAAAGTGACGCTTCTTGGCGAGAGTGCAGGAGGTGCTAGTGTTAATCTACACCTTCTTTCGACTCTGTCAAAGGGTCTTTTTCATCGAGTTATAAGCGAGAGCGGAAGCGATCTATCTCCATTTGCCTTTCACGCAGAATCAGATGTTACTCAGTCTTCGATGAGGCTTGCTAAGGAATTAGGCTGTATTAAGAACAAGAACCAAATGTTAGCGTGTCTCCGCTCGAAATCAGCGCAAGATATCTTGAAAAAGGCGCACAAGTTTTTGTTTTATTATCCTGTAGTTGACAAACACTTCCTGGAAGATTCTCCAATAAACCTCAGGAGGGCTGGAAAATTTCAAAAAGTACCAACCATTGCTGGGTTCGTGAGCGATGAAGGTTCATTCTTACTGGACAAGTCTTTATCAAAATACGATAAAAAGATTTTCAGAGAAAGCATTGAAGCCCAAATAATTGTTGGATTGGGGCCTTCTCAAGACCATAAACCACTTATAGTTGACGCTGTCGAATTTCAGTACACTCACTGGCCAGGACAAAACAATTCAAGTAAGATACGCCAAAGTATTATCGATGCACTGACTGACTACTTCGTTGTGGCACCGACATATGCAAGCCTTCTCTTCCAAAGCCAGGAATCTCATACATGGCTCTATGAGTTTCGGCATCGCTCTGATCACAGCCTCAAAGAAGGCTGGGAAGGAGTAGCTCATGGTGACATCACAGCTTATGTGTTTGGAGTTCCGCTGATGAATGGATCCTCGCCACACCCTTACACTGAGGTCGACAGAAACATCAGTGATTTCATGGTAACAGTCTACACAAATTTTGTCAAGTTTGGCAATACGACACCGCAACCCGTTCATGGGATCAAATGGAATAATTTTCTGCCAAATGACCAAAAGTATCTCCGCATCGAAGCCAACTGTGAGATGTCAAAAGATTTCAAGCCTCTAAAAGTTGCATTTTGGAATGATTACCTGCCCTTACTCTCAAACTCTTTGAAAGAGAAACTCAGTAAATGCTCAGGCTCGGATGTGAATGCAACGAGAAGTCACAGCTGCTATTTACACAAAGTTTCCCGCTGGAAGTTAAGTCTCACACTGTTTTGGATAAATATCAGTGTTTTAGTTTCAGTAAACTTCTTCTAAAATCGACAGTTAGCTCAACGCTAACCAAATGGATTTTCTCTAGCATCCAAAAACTGAAAAGTAGAGAAATTGGAGGCTAAAATGTGTTCTTTTGCTGCCTTAGGTGAAATCGTCGGCGGACGTGATTCAAGTCACAACCCACAATTAAGAATTTCTGCAGCCGCTTAAGCCAATTTCTCAATTTTTTTTCATCACGTAAATTAATAATCAGCATGTAACAATTTTCGCGGTTTTCATCGAATTTTTTGTTTTAAATAGGGTAATTTGTTGGGTAGGAATTTCTTTGCAATGTAAATTTTTGGCGTAGGATACAGCTCAGTATAAAGACCAAAAACGAGAGCATTTCTTTGCAGCGGTTAAAGGGAAGTTCTCCGGCCGGGGCATGCAGGAATAATTGAGAGTTCCATTACCGACATCACGCTTGAAAACAAATATCCCGGTTACTTAATGGAAATTTATTAAGCACCTGTCCCGGTAAAGCAAAACACTCTGAGGTAAAAAGACACGAATATGCGTCAAAAAGATGATGAAAATTGCCGTGTCACTGAGCAAAACTTCGTGAGTGAAAAGGCTTAAGTCATAAAAATCGATGAGGTACATGCAGGAAAAGAATGTCTTGATAAGTAAATGTTTCAATACTTTAACATAGAATGCAGACAGATCGTAAGAGCAAAATATATAACGAATCCAATTCATTGCCATCCAGTTAAACTCCGTGATCAAAAAAGGATGGTATCATATCTCACTTTTGTACTACACCTGATTTTTTAGAGTTTGTAAACGATCATTTGCAAGCGTAATTGCAGAGGTTTTTGTGTAGGAAATGAAATTATTTGGCGTTAGAGAAAAGAAACGAAAACTGAAATATAAGGCTAGTAGCTTTTTAGCGAGGGATACAAGTTCTCAAATAACTGAAGGTTAAATGCATTGAAGAAGAAAGTTTTGATAAGTTTAGAAGGGGAAAGTAGTGATCTATTATTGAATTTATTCTAGTCCTTAGTCCAGTAGTCCAGACCAAGTTTATTTTACAGAAGAAACAGGCTTTTCAAAAGTTAACATAACAGAAATAAAGTGCTGTACTTTTCCTTCCAGATTATTCTGCAAAGAGCCTTTCATTTAGCGTAAACTACTAAATGCGAAACATATAGAGATACTTCATAAGTATTTAAACGAGATCTTGTTTGTAAGGTCTTCTTTTACATTCAGTAATTTCTTAAACGTCCATTCATTTTCGTTGTTTTTGCACAACGTATAAGCAAACGTGAAGTGTAAATATTTGCAAACAATGTTCGCTGGTTACACTTGAAAATATCAATTATACAAAACACTCTGGGAAGATATTTTGTCCAAGTTGTTTTACCGATAAACGTAATATTTCATTTGCAATGCCAAACTATTTGGAACTACATACCCCGGTACAGACTTATTCGTGCAAGAGGTTAATTTGGCTTGAAACCAAAAAATGAAATGAAAATTTCATTTTCATTTCGTAACTATTTGTTACTATATATATGGCCTGAGAACAAACTCTCTTATTCTAGGGAGAAAAAAAGCAAGCCGAAAGTTAATATATTTAATAACATTTTTTAGTTTATTAATTATTAATTTTTTTTACTCCTTTTAGTTTTTTTTTTTTTTCGTCGATCCGGTGCACTTGGGCAGCATGCTGCGTCCGTCTCTCAACTCAGTGAAAACTGGGAACGAAGGCTCGCTCGCAGCCTGTATCACAAAAATAACATGAGTGAGAAGCTTCTGTTGCCAACATTTACATGTTGAGCTTATCGCTGGACTATTTTCAAATTTCCCTCCAGTAACCCTCGATAAATTAAAGAACAGCGTGCAGAGGGGGTCACACAAATCCATTATATAAATTACAATTTCGCCGAAAAACATTTGCTTTTTATCCTTTTAAGGAAGCGTCAAATGTTTCAATCTAGAACGTGCATACCCTCGAGGGTAACTGCATCGTGGACGTAATATTTCATAAAAATGGCTTGACAGGGGTATTAAATTAGGTTGTACGCGTGTCTTGATCCTAGGACATCATTTTCACACTCATTGTTTCTCGTTATAATTTCTCCTTGTCCCATTTGCTGTATGCTATTTTTTCAGTGCAAATGCCATTTTCTTTTTCAACCCTGGAACTTCACAAAAACACGCAATGAATCTCACCGTTACCTGATGTTTCAGGAATTTTTGTTGTTTTGATTTAGTAACCACTTACTCCAAATAAAATCACTCAAACTCCACTAAAAACTTTCAATAAGTTTAAAGTGGAAAGCGAGAGATGGGTCCTTGTCTTGAAAGTGGACTTTGACTTTGATATTCGCGCCAAGTGAACGAAGAGTGTCCACAAACTTCTTCTGCTCCTTTCCAATCCACGGCCGCGTGGAATCCTTGATCTGGTAAGGCGTTACGTGCACACGAACTCTTGGCACGCGATTAGCCAGATGGTAAAGAAATTTTTCATCTGTTACCCACGTGTTCGACTCGCCACTATGGCCGCCGTCCAACCAGTACATGGTACTAATGCGCGAGGCAAATTCATTGAGACGGGAGTCCACTCCTGCGGACACCATGTATAGCTCGTAAACAATTTGATTAAGAACAACACAGCCTTTACTGAAGCCAACGAGAATCACTGGGAAATCAAGTGTGGGGTCTTCCTCTTCTTTCGGGACGTCTAGAACTGCATGAATGAAAGGAAAAAAAGTAAACTTAAGGCTTTGAAGGTTAGACTAATAATTCCAGGCAAGAGAATTTAAAGTTTATAATCTTTTGTTTCAGGAAAATGGCCCGAGTCTTCCGTTATGGCGAGATATTTGTATGGCTAAAATAGTGATAAACAACCATCGACAAGAAGATAGATATCGAGAGAACACACATGCAAACGTCCTCAAACGTAAATAAATCGTGAGTGACCGAGTCGGGTTGGTTGACAACAGATCAGTTTTCAATTAAATGTCGAAAAAACCAAAACCAAAGTAATCCCATTAACCAATCAGAACGAAGGTAGACAATATCATTGGCCAATCCAATAAGAATACAAGGTGAAAAAGGAACATTGCTTGAAGCGCGAGAAAACGCGAATGACCAAATCGCAATTGAATTTGCGTCTGATTGGTTGAGAGTATTGTGCGAGTTTTCTGGACCAATCACAGAGCGAAGTTAAGTAAAACCACATCAACCCCGGGTGACTTTCAATGCTAAAATGAAAATGGTTTTTTTTGTAGGTAACATTTTCGGAAAAGCGATGCGAGTTTGCCACAAAAAACTCGTAGAGACGGAAACACCAGAGAACTCCGCTCGTAAATTCAAAGAAAAACGGAGGAGAGCTGCTACGACGAGAATAGAGGAAGAATAACAAGTTGCTAATAATAACTTTTGTTAAAAACAAGCAACTGTCAGAAGCGTGGGAAAGGACAAGTGATCAAGTTACGAGTGGAGTACGTTTTGAATCTGATTTAAACAACAAACATATGAAATACATATATATGAACTGCGGTTATGAAACGTATATGTGCACGATCCTTCGCAGTAAAGCACTATTTAAGCAATTGTGAAAATCAGACCTGAAAAAAATTCAGGCCTGTACGGGATTCGAACCACTGACCTCTGCGATACTAGTGCAGCGCTCTACCAATTGAGCTAACAAGCCAACTGGGAGCAGGCCATCAAATTAATTCGACATAAACCCGTAGATGATAAATCAAACAACAAACATATGAAATACATATATATGAACTGCGGTTATGAAACGTATATGTGCACGATCCTTCGCAGTAAAGCACTATTTAAGCAATAGTGAAAATCAGACCTGAAAAAAATTCAGGCCTGTACGGGATTCGAACCACTGACCTCTGCGATACTAGTGCAGCGCTCTACCAATTGAGCTAACAAGCCAACTGGGAGCAGGCCATCAAATTAATTCGACATAAACCCGTAGATGATAAATCAAACAACAAACATATGAAATACATATATATGAACTGCGGTTATGAAACGTATATGTGCACGATCCTTCGCAGTAAAGCACTATTTAAGCAATAGTGAAAATCAGACCTGAAAAAAATTCAGGCCTGTACGGGATTCGAACCACTGACCTCTGCGATACTAGTGCAGCGCTCTACCAATTGAGCTAACAAGCCAACTGGGAGCAGGCCATCAAATTAATTCGACATAAACCCGTAGATGATAAATCAAACAACAAACATATGAAATACATATATATGAACTGCGGTTATGAAACGTATATGTGCACGATCCTTCGCAGTAAAGCACTATTTAAGCAATAGTGAAAATCAGACCTGAAAAAAATTCAGGCCTGTACGGGATTCGAACCACTGACCTCTGCGATACTAGTGCAGCGCTCTACCAATTGAGCTAACAAGCCAACTGGGAGCAGGCCATCAAATTAATTCGACATAAACCCGTAGATGATAAATCAAACAACAAACATATGAAATACATATATATGAACTGCGGTTATGAAACGTATATGTGCACGATCCTTCGCAGTAAAGCACTATTTAAGCAATAGTGAAAGTCTAAATCCCACAGGGATCAACGAACGCTTTTCATTCCACTTGTTTATTCTTGTTTTTCTCGTTGCCATGTTCCCACCAATAACGTAGCTCCATTCTCTGCCTTTAAAAGCACACACAACCCACAATTCCTCTCTTCGCTNATTAGCCAGATGGTAAAGAAATTTTTCATCTGTTACCCACGTGTTCGACTCGCCACTATGGCCGCCGTCCAACCAGTACATGGTACTAATGCGCGAGGCAAATTCATTGAGACGGGAGTCCACTCCTGCGGACACCATGTATAGCTCGTAAACAATTTGATTAAGAACAACACAGCCTTTACTGAAGCCAACGAGAATCACTGGGAAATCAAGTGTGGGGTCTTCCTCTTCTTTCGGGACGTCTAGAACTGCATGAATGAAAGGAAAAAAAGTAAACTTAAGGCTTTGAAGGTTAGACTAATAATTCCAGGCAAGAGAATTTAAAGTTTATAATCTTTTGTTTCAGGAAAATGGCCCGAGTCTTCCGTTATGGCGAGATATTTGTATGGCTAAAATAGTGATAAACAACCATCGACAAGAAGATAGATATCGAGAGAACACACATGCAAACGTCCTCAAACGTAAATAAATCGTGAGTGACCGAGTCGGGTTGGTTGACAACAGATCAGTTTTCAATTAAATGTCGAAAAAACCAAAACCAAAGTAATCCCATTAACCAATCAGAACGAAGGTAGACAATATCATTGGCCAATCCAATAAGAATACAAGGTGAAAAAGGAACATTGCTTGAAGCGCGAGAAAACGCGAATGACCAAATCGCAATTGAATTTGCGTCTGATTGGTTGAGAGTATTGTGCGAGTTTTCTGGACCAATCACAGAGCGAAGTTAAGTAAAACCACATCAACCCCGGGTGACTTTCAATGCTAAAATGAAAATGGTTTTTTTTGTAGGTAACATTTTCGGAAAAGCGATGCGAGTTTGCCACAAAAAACTCGTAGAGACGGAAACACCAGAGAACTCCGCTCGTAAATTCAAAGAAAAACGGAGGAGAGCTGCTACGACGAGAATAGAGGAAGAATAACAAGTTGCTAATAATAACTTTTGTTAAAAACAAGCAACTGTCAGAAGCGTGGGAAAGGACAAGTGATCAAGTTACGAGTGGAGTACGTTTTGAATCTGATTTAAACAACAAACATATGAAATACATATATATGAACTGCGGTTATGAAACGTATATGTGCACGATCCTTCGCAGTAAAGCACTATTTAAGCAATAGTGAAAGTCAGACCTGAAAAAAATTCAGGCCTGTACGGGACTCGAACCACTGACCTCTGTGATACTAGTGCAGCGCTCTACCAATTGAGCTAACAAGCCAACTGGGAGCAGGCCATCAAATTAATTCGACATAAACCCGTAGATGATAAATCAAACAACAAACATATGAAATACATATATATGAACTGCGGTTCGAATCCCGTACAGGCCTGAATTTTTTTCAGGTCTGATTTTCACTATTGCTTAAATAGTGCTTTACTGCGAAGGATCGTGCACATATATGAATCTGATTTGTTAAAATTTGACGCATTTTTTTTCAAAAGTAATCACCAATGGACAGTAAGCGAAAGGAACTCAATCTATGCTTGTTCATTTGCAAGTAATCTGATCAAAAAGGACTCTTAACACTTACGCTTTTTCACCGCAGACTCCAGCAATGCTCTTAAGTGAAACAAAGCTCCATAATCGTGATTCCTATGATCCGGAACACCAAACATGTTGGCTTCAACAAAGTTTTGATAACACGCGAAAGTGTTCTGGTGATATCTAGAAGGACGAATGACCCATATAAAGCTATTCGGGAATCTTCTTTCTAATATTCTCGCCGTAGATTCGAAATTCCACTGCTTCCATTTCTTATTATCTCCGTGACTCTCCATGTTTTCTGCATAATCCTGAAAATTAATAAAATTTTTTTAAGTGAAAACGCTTCATCTACAAGCTTGTTGCGCGTATGTCAAGTTTGTCCGGATGCAAGGGGAATGCTTGAGGAGCGCAAGTTCAGTTGCCACACGTATAATGGAAACCAACAGTTAAATAGTACCATTTGCGTTCATTTTCAAAACTGGAAACTGTTATAAATATTTCTCAACGTTTCTAGTATGGCAATTGAGCGCTCTTAGATAAGTACAAGGTTGGATTTCTGACTCTCACTTACTTTCTGAACTTCAGACAAAATCAACAGAATTGGATGCCGTCTTGGACGAAGGTAATTTACCAATTGTACGGTAACTTTTGCAAAGAGCAACGAGAGAAAAAGCAGAAAAATAGGGGGAAAGGAAAACGACTTGGGTAAGGAATAGAAAAGAAACGAAAACCATTGGTTCAGTAGCAAAACAGTCTAATCCATGAAAAGGGCGAGGAGACACAAGATTACAGGGTACGATTGTCTCAGCGAGTTTTTCTTTTTTTCAAATGAGATCACTTCTTCATCTAGTGGAGAGCTTTATCCTCTTATACGTCTATTTAAACAGTTCCGTTTTGAAAACAAAAGAAGTGTCTTCGGAAATTGTTCTGAAAAAATCAAAGGCGCATTCTGGGAATTCAATCCGACAGATTGTAAACTCTACACCCATTAATTAGGGGCTTTCAAATTTGTTTATTTATTCAAATTTGCGTTTAGTTCGCTTTACGGAAGTGAAGTTTTACTTTCAAATCGTGAACGCTTCTCAAACGAAATTTATCATTTCGCAGATTCGTGCGTTGAAGGTAAAGAGTCAAAAGCTCACAAGATGAGTTAAGAACATCTGGTACAATAAACTGACGTAACTCAAAGCCTTGAGGGATTACCTATCGTTCACAAAACAAATTAGGAGCTTTGAAGAAGTGAAGAGTGTGCTGATTGTTTGATGGATGTCTTGAAAACTGATTTAGCTGGTTAAAAAATATCGATCGTATTGAATGATTAATTCGTGCTCCGTTCTCAATGATGCAGTTTGATAAAATCTGCTTTATATTGAATATATCGCTTGATGAACGAATCACTTGGAAGAGAGTCCCTCGTCGTGTTTTGAAGCTGTTAAGTTCAATAGCTTGATAAACAAAGCATCCTTGTTTAGATCATCACAATTATGTTCCATTCAAACAACACGATTTTCCGCAGATGTAAAGCCGGTTTCTTTAACATTTTCGCCTCGATCTGCTTTCTGTTCAAACCAAAATATCCAACACGATGTGGAAACTGAAATGAAGTCGGATTGAGGAAGAAATTCAAAGCAGAACCGCGCGATTGAAGACACTCCAGAATCACAGTACCGTGAAAAATGCCTCTCAACAACTTAGGGCACAAACGTAAAATGGGAAAATTGGAAATGGCGTTAAGTTGCACAAGTGTACAGCACAGTTGAATAGCTTACGACCAGCGTGTCCTGATCAAGTATTTTTCGGCGCTTATGGCCGAACGCTTCCAACTACAAAATCTGTTGACCTTACCTGAACATCGCCAGGAAAAAATACAACATGTTGTTGAGCGTCTGAGCCGCAAAACACCACGTCGTTTTTTCGTTCCTCGTAGCCGGGTACCTCTTCTAGGCAACGAACTAAAGGAGAATTCGAAGATTTTTCCATAAGAATAGAAGAATTATTGAACGAAATTGCTATGATGTACGCCGAAATTCTACATTTCACAAGTGTTTAAATTAAACAAAGCAGTTTTCAGAGCAATATTAAATGTGAAAACTATTAACATAAGAATTGAACCTTGTTTGCGTACTAATCCCTCAGTCTTTGTTATATCCCGTTAAAATAATCCCGGTGCCACACTGGCTAAAGGCTTAAATACAAAAAGTTCGAGGAAATTACTTTGCGGTGTAAAGTTAAACAATTTTCAGCTTGTTACGGATGAACAGCAAAATAACCATTTCGAAGTTAATTTGCTTAAATTCGAGTTTTTCAGCCGGAAATTGGACGGAAAATTATCTTTAGGAAACACAGTGCTATTTAAACACAACAAATATATGAAATTCATATATCTGAACTGCTACTTATTAACCAAAATGCTGTACTGTAATTTCTATCGATGTGACCAAATGGAATAGAGAGGACTCACCAAAGAAAAAGAAAATATAACAAAGCATAACTCATTCAGCAAATGTACGTATTGTTTCGCAGACGTTTCCTTGCTTTGTGCGGGTAAAATAATCGGTTTATCTTTACCTCATCAAAACGCGTTGCTAATGACATTCTAGGGTTAATGTTGGACCAATTTTTCCTTTCTTTTGAGTTAACTCAATCGCTTAATTTGTCAGGAACGTTCCGCAAGCACGTATCATCCTTCACTTATCAAGCGATTTCACCGCCACTTCTACAGCAATTGTTGTTTTTAAGGCGAGCTGTCGTATCCCTCCACCTTTTTCATCGTACTGAGTTTTAAGTCATTCGACAACGTTTGCATCCACGACTTAAGCTATCAAATCCTTTCTTTATGTGTAACGCAATAAATTATAGATATCTCGCTAAAAACCAAGTTTGACTCAATGTTTTAAAAATCGTAACGTTTTCGCATGTGACTGTTCTGAAACACCGAAGTTGCCGAGTGTTTTAAAAAGTTGAACACGTTTTTGATGCATGATGCATGTTTTTGATGCGTTTTTGATTACATCATCACACCACTAACTTTGCTAAAACACAAGACTTGAACAAAGACAAGTATGATTCGTAATGCGTGGAAGTTAATCATATCGAATCACAACATACAAGAAAAAGTTTGCAGGGCAACATTAATACCAAATTCAATATACTTTAAACCGTTTGATTCTCCAACTCGACAAAATATAAGTTCTTCGAAGTGTTTGATACAAACGTAAAAAATGCATTTGTGAGAATCTAGAGAGAGAACAGAACAGATTTATCACCAAGGTCTTCTCAGTAGAGCTGTACGAGCATGATTCATTTGTTGTAGAGTCAACAAAAGATGGTTTGTACTTAGAAAAGGAATTCTTAAAATTGAAGCGGAAGTTTTATTTCCTGAGGAAGGTATTTGTTACACAAAACATTTATAATTAAGTGACAAATGGATAGTGAATGGTTTACTTCAAACAACAACACTATACATACAAACACAAGAATCCTGATAACACATTTAGGCATAAAGCTACACCCGCTTATGGTCAAACCAAGCTTTTGAGTTCTGGGTAGTCATTGAGGGGTTTCATTAATTTTTTCAGCAGGAGGGCAACTGGTTTTCACAGGCGGGCAAAACTTTTTGAACTAAACTTCTTTATGAGATAAACCTTCCTCCGGGGCAAAACCGTCCTTACAACCGGTCAATTTAGCCGGGACCCGGCCCTTAATGAAACCCCTGTAGTAATCAAGCTCCCATTTTATCTTCTATGTTTCATTATGCTGCAAGAATAGCTGTTTTCCGAGAGTTTATTTGACTCTTACTGATACTACACACTGTAGCAAAAAACTCTGCTTTGGTCACATTCCACTACTAACTGCTATCTTGGTTATATAATTTTTACCCCCTACCCCTTCCCCCCCCCTATAAAAACAATTTAAAAAAATTCATGGATGATGATAAACAAATATGCTGACTCAAATTTTAACTGGAAACCAAAACAAACTAACTGATACACATGAATCAAGTTTAAAACCCTTGAACTCCCAGAAGTGATTAACATGTAACTTCTTCCTAGAATATCCATACATTATCCAGCAAGCAGGTAATGAGAATACTCAAACTTATCAGGTGGAGGTTGTTATCTTGACCTAACACCAAATTCTGGTACCGTAACTACTTTATAGGGAAATGTGTAGTGGGCTAGAACTGAGAATTAACAATCAGATCATGAGAGTTGATTAAAGGGTTAATCTCTTTGGCGAGTATGTTGAGCAAACACCTAATTTTTAGTATGGCTTTTCAAACAAATTACTGGGATTTGCCTCGAGGCCAAGGAATGATTTTCCTGTTTTGCAAAAACTCTCCATTAGGACTTGTTGTTCCTCTAGGAAGAAGGGCACAATAGACTGGTGTGTCTGCTCCTGAGGAAAAGTAATCAGAATTGGTATAAGTGGATTGAAAAAAAATCTCCTGCCTGAAAAAAAGTTTAGTGTGTGACCCAGGTAATTGGCTTGAACCAGGACCTGTCCATTAAGAGTCCACTGAAGTCAAAACTAAACCACAATGTCTCCCATGAAAAGGATTGGAGGTAGAGCAAAGGAAAAAATACAGAAACAAAACCCAAAGAAATAAAATGAGACAAAGACTCAGCAAGGAAAAAAATAAAATAGGAAGGAAAAGGAAAATTATGTAAAGAGATTACATAAATACTGAACTAACCTTCTTCTGGGCTTCGATGTGCATTAGGGCCACCCATGTCAGTTCGCACCCAGCCAGGACAGATCTAAATTTGTCATACATTGGACATGACATTATAACAGAATAAAGGGAACGCACAAATTTCTTTACAGAATTTAGGCTTAGTAAAAGAAATATTTCTGTCTTATCAATACTCACAGCATTAACCAATATCCCTTTGCGCTGATCATTTTTTAATTCTCTTGCTTGTACCATACTTAAAGCTGTTACACCTATCTTGGAGACACTGTATGCTGAGGAAAGAAAATTATTTTCAACATCAGTTCAGTTATGATTGTAGCATGGTGATTTTGAACTTTTTATGACCATGAAGTAGAGAAATGAACAGTATTCAAAGTTGTAGTATGTTCAGGTCAGTTTGGAAAGTAAATAAATAGTTGTATATTATTGACCTGGACTGAAGGAAGAATCATCTGGCCAACCATTCTCTGTCAGCTTCCCTTCTTTAGCATCCCTAAGAAAGGAAATAAGAATTTCTTTAGAGTTGAAAATATAGGCAAGTAAGAATAAATGCCACTTGTGCAACCACTGTGAAGACTCCAAATGCAAATGCACACCCCACAGTAAAGAGTGACAGTAAATTCCGAGAGACTGAGAAGACATAGTGGTCATAATGTCTGTCAAATTGGGTTTCCCATTAAGAGGGCTGCTTTTGTGTCTAGGCTACAGCCATCGTGTTGTGTTCTTGGGTAAGATGCATAACTCACAGTGCCTCTCTCCATCCAGCAAAAGAAAAGGATGTTGGGATGAGCCAGCATCCTAGTCTAGGTGTGAGGAAGGTAACAATACTCAATGGTTTTGCCCCCTGCCGTGGAAGAATGGGATTCAAGTTTTAAAAATAAAAAACCCTCCATGGAAGGAATGTGAATGTTGTCTTAAGATAATATTAATGTTAAGCAAGTTCTCAGTGTGGGGCTAAACACTAATAATAATTTCAAACATCTTCTCTGCAGAGAATGATGTAAAGAGAGAGAATTCTTCATGTCATTTCTAATGATCATGCTGTGTGCGGGTATGAACTGGCATGGGAAACTAATTCCAATAATACCAGCAAGTTAACACTTATGCCTCCATCAGTGACCAGGACAGAACTTCTCCTAACAATGTAACTACAATATCAAGCAGACGAGTGATGAGAATGAAGAAAAGCATCAATTAGGGGATTACAATTTGACCCAATACCAAATTCTACAAATTAACATAATAAGGATTGTATGGCAGACGGTAAGGGATATTACTAATGAAAATCTGGAGGTGAAAGGGCTGACTCTGTGAGCAAACAACTCCTAAATAATATGTATGGTCAAAATTATCATTTAATTAACAGGTTCAACTAATATACTCAATTTGTCTTGGGTAACTTTGTACCTGATGTATTTTTCCATGAGAGATGTTATCTCTGTGAATGTTAGTTTTGGAGAGGAAAATTGCTTCTGCAGTGCTGGTGAAACACAACTTAGGTCTCCAAGCTCAGACGATACATTAACCACCCTGACAGGCCAAAAAAAAAAATATATATAAAAAAAATTAAAAAAAATTAAAAAATGGATTTGCACACAGTGTACTTGGGTCATAAACTGAAGGTGGAAAAACTAGCTTTGAAACTTACAGAACAGATTTGCATTTAATTGAGAGATCTCTGACCAATTGAATTGATAGTGACACAAAAAGTAACTAGTTCTTGTACCTTTTGGTCTGTGTAAAAAAACAAACAGTGCTGATGTAGGATGACATCATTTAGTTTGAAAGAATACCTGGCATGATGTCGGAGGAGAGGAAAGAAACTCTTGCACATGTTCAGTGTTCCAAAATAGTTTATCTTAATAGTTGTTTCAGCTCTTTCCACATATGGCACAGTTTTCTGTTGATTAATTCAATCAATAACTTTGAATATTTACTCTGATCATGACTGTCTCTGACTCTCTACTCCCATAGTATATAAAGGAACAAAAATGGGTACCAGTGGAATGTCATGGGAACATAGATGAAATGCTGGAGGGCAGGGGGGGGGGAGGGGCTAACCCTGTAATGGACTTGAAAGTTTGCAAATAACTTCCCTTCCAGTTCATAATTTACATACTCTCCTTGTGTTCTCCCAACATCCTGTGTGGACTACCACACCAGTAAACTGATAGAAAGTGCACTCAATTGCTCAAAGAACATTCAACAAATATGCAATTGCAGGTCATTTTTTCTCATAATTTATTTTCCTTGTCTTCTTCCTCGTTTAAGTATCTCAGTGGAAATCACACATCATTCACCGCCGCCTGGTTAGCTCAATTGGGAGAGCGCCGGACTGCTGTGCGGGAGGTCGAGAGTTCAATACCGGCCGGACCAACACTCAGGGTCTTAAAATTAACTGAGAAGAATATGCTTCCTTTCTTTAACATCAAGAAATGGTTAGATATTCTAGTCTTCTCGGATAGGGACGAATAAATGGAGGTCCCGTCTCCTGCAGGGTTAGGGGTAGGAGACGTTAATTTCCCACGCACGAGATTACTGTGTGATGGATGTCCTCCCCTGGGGTGGGATGGGTGGGAAAAGGTGAGGTCGTTACATGGACTAAAGCGGCTGCCAGAGGCGCCTGATAATGCTGACGTCCGATCTCAACCTTAGTAAAAAATTATTGTAAGCGCATTGAGATTCTTAAATGCGTATTAAGAACCTTCATTACATTACATTACATTTACATTCATTATAATCCACAAAGTAGCTTCACTCAAATGCTATTGGTCTAAAAGCATCACTTGACTGAGTGTGTCCCAACTAAAACTGAGCAGTGCTGGTGATGTTTCTCAGTTTATATTCATAAATTTTCAAACTTAACATTTGATTTGAGAAAAAGCTATGTTTGAAATATAATTGAAGATAATAGGGCATACTGACATTACTACAAGCTCACACTTTTTTCTTGAGGTTCACTCTTGGAAAACATTTTGTTCCTTCAAACAGATGAATTCTACAGACAAACACCTGTGCACATTTTTCCACCAAATGGAGGTTATTGATTATAAATCAAATGTCTAGAAAAACTAATGAAAATTGGCCAATGTATATACCCTACAGTATATTGAGTTCCCACCTTAAGCAAAACACCAGAATTGTTTATCAATATGTCCAATCCTCCAAATGTCTTCTGGACATAACTGCAGACTTTGTTGATACTGTCCTGGGATGTAATATCGAGTTGATGGTGCTGAATATTTGTTACATCTAATTCTTTACTGAGTTCACCACATATTTTTGTACCTGTGTTCTCATCCCTTGCTGTAAAAGTTGGGTAAAATATATAATTCATCTTGAACCCTCAGTGATTAAGTCAAAATCTGGGATGATATCATCAATATAATCATCATCATTTAATAATCATCATTATTGTTCTACTTATATCAACTATTAAGGCAAAACCCAGACAAGGTCTGGATAAGAGCCAACCAAACTAAAGTCAAATCTTTTGATTCTTAACCAGCTCCATTGTACAGTTACTTCCATTCACATCCCGACTTGACAAAATATTCATTACATTTTAATTAGAGAGGCGACAGGAGGAAAGAAAATCATCAAATAGCATATCATTTGATCTAATACCAAATTCTCCCAGCTAAAATTATTCAGCTAACAGTAAGGAGAATATATTTATCTCTTGGGATGAAAAAGAATATTGTAAAAATGAGAAAATCTCATAAGACACATTACTCATAAAACTGCTTTACCAGTGAAGAGAACAACTCCATCAAACTCTTTGCACAATCTTTTAACAATAGCATAGCCAATGCCACGATTACCGCCTGTCACCTTCAAATTAACAACGACTTATCAGACAAGATACTAATTAATACAATAAAAACATGGCTACAATGTCAGTTTTTGAGACTACATAAAGTATGATGATATTTCCTTCGCCTGAAAAGTGTATTTGAGACAAAAACGAAAGTTCATGAAATGGAAAGTCTAGAGGGTCAAACGTTCCTCGTTACATAACAGCTGGCTGCTATTTCAAGCAAAACAAACCTACTCATCAGTAAGTAAAATAGATTAGCTACACAAAGAAATTTAGTTTACATAAGAACAGATAACAAACCTACCAGAGCGACTCTTTCCATGCTAGATATTTTTTTTTCCGCGGACGTTTAGTTTATTTGTGCTACAAGACATTGTAGTTTTCGACCGCTTTTCGCCCCAGTCCTCTTTCGTAAAGATGCCACATTGAGGCCCTGATTGGCCTTGATAGGGTAAATTCCGACGGGCGACATGGCGTTGAAACAGCGACAACAGGAAAATGAAAATGCAACTTCGAGCACGACATTGATGAAATTGCGACAGCGACATCAGAACCTTCCGAAATGGCGACGTGGCAAAGTTTGAAATTCAGACGAGGGACATCTATACCTCACCAACAGGGACTCCACATTGCGTGACTTGATTCTGATCTAACTACATGTACATGAAAAAGACGTACCTCCTCTGTTTTCCATGTTTCCCTCTATATATTGTGTTGCAGCTTCTAAGCCATGTCGGTGTACATGTGTAATCTTTGAGATAGTGACACCTGAACTCGAATTTTATTTTCAACGGTCTTTTTTCACCCTGCCCGATCTCTGCTTCACTTGGGGTTCGCTGTGCATGATCTAATCGTCAACTTTCTTGGAAATCTCTGGTAGTTTTCTACCCTAGGCCCCCCCCCCCCCCCCCATTTCGAATAATGAGGACTTTTTGTCAAACACAAAGACTTTTTCACTAAGCTGTCAGCTTAATGTCAGTCTTATTATTGGTGTATTATGTAATGCTTTGGCTGGATGAAGAAGCCCCACGACCAAATAAGGAAACTTACAACCAAAATAAACATTGTAGCTGTTCCACAGTTGTAACGACCTGTGACGTAATCTTAAGGCCAAAGCGCGAATCCCTTACCGACCCCTTACCGAATAATTCTCGTTGGAAAATGAACAGAAAAGTCAAAAAATGGAATCTCCGCTGAACCGTTCAGCTGTGTAAACAAATGGAAATTTTCTGATCAAAAAGGAAGCTTTCATATAAACATAGTTAAGAACTATGATATAAAATTGAAAATTGAAATTGATCAACTGTTGATCTTTCTGTGCTATAGACGATAGGGGGCGTATCCCCTCTAAAATATGACAGATGTTCCTTAATTTGTAAGGGGTTACCCCCCTTACCAAGGGATATAGTTGCCCTGTCCCAATTTGTATTCCGCTTGATCATGGCGTCCGTAGTCGGCGATACTTTGCGATTAACATTTAAACTCTTACTTAGCAAGATAAGAGATAAGGGCGCTGAAAATCTTAAACATGGAGATGTGAGCGACGAGCGATTTAGAGAATTCATCGTTCGTGAACTCACGGATATTCGTGAGAAGCTCGAAGGATTGTGTAAGGTTGATCTGATCACTTCTGCCAATTTCTTCAAGGACGGAGTGAGTTTGATGTACCAAAGCTTTGCCAAATCTGGGAATGGCAGCCCAAGCATTCAAAGTGAAGTCTATAGCGACGCGTTTGATAACATCAGTCTCATGAACACTGATGTTACGAACATCGAACTAGACGAGTGGGAAGTTCTGCATTTGATGTCCGATGGGTTGCAGTTTGACAAAATCGATTGTGAAGACAAGTTTTTCGTGGAAGCGAAGGATTTCTTCAAAAAGGCAGCCGAAAGTGCTACCAAAGCTTTCAGTAACGAAGCATTGGATATCTACGACAGAGTTTTGGCGATGAAATTCAGAGCTGCGGCGACAATGCTACATTACATTAGTGAACCGGAAGTCGCAGTTGTGTTGTGCAAGAATTACATTGAGCAGCTGAATGGTTTACCGGAAGTTCTCGAGGCATTTTCTGTGCGTTTTGGTCGATTCAACATGCGAAAGCTGTTTTGTGAGATGCGTCGAGAAGCTGTTATTGGCGCAGTGGTCTCCATAAATCGCATTTTGTGGGAATATCTACATCTTTCGTCCAAGGGTGATGATGTATTACGAAACTGGCCGGTTATTCCCGCAGATTCAAGGTACAAAATCCATCCAGTTCAGAATTGGGAGGTCTGTCGCGGTTATTTTTGGAAGTTTGGTGAGTTTGGAAGTGGCCCGGCGCAGTTGAACGGCCCTGTAGATGTTGCTACAAACAGCAGTGGATCTTTCATTATCGCTGATCGTTACAACTTCCAGGTTAAAGTGTTTTCAAAAGATGGAAATTTGAGCCAAAGAATGTGCGAATTGGCTTTCTTACAAACTTTTAACGAAGACTTAGTAGATACAAACCTAATTCACCCGCAGAGTATCGATGTAGATAAGTTAGATCGGGTCTACATCTGCAGTAGCTATAAGTCGGCCCTCAGCGGTCAGTACATCAATGAAGTCATTTCCACTGATCATCAAGGAGAATTCCTCTGGAGCTTCGGAAGGGGCGTGTCTAACTTCAATCAAGGAAAGCTGACCAGCATTGCAGTAGATAAAAACAGAGAGAGGGTTTTTACTCTTTGTCAGAAGACAGTTTTTGTGCTCACTACAGGTGGAACGTTCTTGTCAAGTTTTACTTTGACAGGAGAATTCACCCAGGCGAAGGAGTCACACCTCTGTGTGACAACTGCTGGCAATTTAATCATCACAGCCAATAATGGAATGTTCTGCGTTTCCAAACGAGCTGCCAATGACATAAGTTTCAGATCACGCACAGTCCACCCAACCCGGTTTAACATGCCGCACAGAAAGATACCCAATTTGTTTAATCCGTCAGGTATCACGTTTAACCCTCACACGGAGGAAATTTCTGTTGTTGATCGAGCGAGTAACAGTTTGATTATGTTTGACACCAGAGGAAATTTTATCAGGAAAGTTTTCTTTTACGAGAAATATTCTTCCGGGGGAGCAACTGTTACCAGAGACGGTCACGTGGCCATAGCAAGCAAGTCGAGCAATAAGATTTTCATAGTGTGAACCCGTGACTTTTTTCATATTGGTTTATCAAAAATATAGCGATAGAGGAGAAAAAAGAATAGAATCTTCCATATCTCCAATACAACTGAAATTGTCCTAAAATTGAGAGAAAAAAAAACAACCGTGCAACTAGTCTTCGCCACCGTTCTTTGGGATGTCACACAACGTTCCCCGAAACTAGTTGAGGGTGTTGTGTGACATCATGAACCACTGTCTTATGGCTCAACTGAGCTTGTAACCGGTTCTCGTTCCTTACATTAAGGGTACAGAGACGATCAAGAACATTATATTGGTAAAACGATTTTCTAAGAAACTAATTGAATCAAAACGTCCATTGGGTATTTCATTATGCTGGATATTTTTTTGCCAAAGAACGATCAGATGATTAGATTGTGGTAGATAACGATGCTATTATCGTTTCGTTATATTCTTTTTACCTTGTGGTTACTTTACTTTACTCTATATTTAATCAGATTCTTCTCCATTACCATGGTTACGTGTGTCGCCTATGATGTTAGAAAATATGTTACACTGACCATGATTTTGACGTTGTAAAAAGACAAACACATAAACCAAGAACGATGAAGACATTTATTGAATAAAAAAATAACTATTGATTAGAAGTATTTCGTTCTTTTATCTCGTTTTACCCTTGTCTTTCCCACCAAGAATCAAATTAATCTGTGCTTTTTCCCAAACAGCTCTGTATACCAAACTTGGTTTCTCTTGTAATTTTCAAGGCAAGTTTTAAGACAGGCTATCTCTTATTCCATTTTTTGTCTTTTGTTCATAAACGCCCTTAGGAACTAGGAAATCTGAAGACTTTTGAGCTTGGATAAGAGGACTTCATTCTTATGACATTCCTACAAGTAAACAAACACACAAAAGTCGATCAAGAAAATTGACATCAATTATATACAATGTTAACTTAATAATTCACTAGTTCAACTGGTCAGTTGACAACGAGATGTCATGGTTTCCCTCAACTGGGCGCAATCCTAAAACGTACACAGCGGCCAAAGGACTGCGCATGAGCCAACGTTGAAACAGCTAAAAGCAAGCCAAAATAGCGGCCGAACATAGATAGTGCTCTGAAGCTGCCACACCAAGTTTTCTCACAGCAGTTGGAAACAGAGAAAAAACCAATAAGACACGGTTTTCTAAGAACTTTTTAAGGCAGAGCTCAAGACAAAGTACAAAATTAACAAAAATCCTTTGTTTTCTTATACAGATTACTAAAAGTGTTAATTTATATCGTGAATTTTGTGCAACAACGACGGTTTCTGTTTTCCTTTAATATTTTGCGCATGGTGCACGGCTGGGAAAAATTGCTCTAGCTACGCATGCTCAACGTTTGATCGTTGTATTCCCAAAACCAATCCGCGTGCTATTTTTCCCGCCATTTAAACACGCGCGCCACTTTTTAGAATTTATCGCGCGAAAACAAAACACAACACGGAACCACACCTATACCAACCTCCGTAAAATCTTTTACTGTTTTGAAGTACAATCTCTCTTGCTCCACTATATCAAGATACTTCTGATTCAAGGCGTCTCTACGTTGTTTCTCTACAGCTTTCTTCTTCTCAATCTGAAATAAAGGATAAAGATTACTTAGACTGGGAAAACAGCTCAAAAGAAAAAAATTGGCGGGAAAACAGGTAACAGCAATAAGCGTGGGAAACGCGGAAACCACAGAGGAAAGCGCGGGAAAAACTGGAATTATAGGAACGGTCACGATAACAACCATTTGCACACGTTTTAAACCATCTCGTGTTTCAAATTCAAAGCGCTTTGCGTTTCTTGGAAATGCAATTCGCTTAACGCTTTAGCTTCGCGTACCCTTTGTTTATTATCCACGATTCCCTTCACAATGCTGTCAAACTGCTTCAGGAACTGTTCCTTGTTCGTTGGAGATGACATACCTCTGAAAACGAAAAAAAAAAAAAAGGGCAAAGAAGCATATCAAAATGACATTTCTTGAGCTGTTTGAAAAGAGCACAAATGACTAACAAATGTAAGCTCTGTTGACTGTTGCGTAACGGAAACAAACCATCGCCAGAAGTAACGACAACTGAGGCAACACTCTTGCTAGAAAATGGATACACACTAATAACTGATAAAAACTCGTAGAAATGACAGAACTCTTACTGTTCAAAGGTATCATGGATGGAGTTAAGCAAGTTAACCTGTAGAAATAAAAGGTCAACTCTCCATCACTATGAGTGAAGTATACAAAAACTTCAGATAATGATGTATATATATATTGCGCATTCTCCATTTAACAAATAGATTCCATGTTGTTGTTCATCTGTTCAGTAATAGATCAAAGATGACGTCAAAATGTGTTAAGAACAAGAGTGGCACACGGAGCACAGCGTGAGGAGAGGGGTGGATGGAAAGCAAAACAAACAAAGTAACTTCACGCTTCTAACCTCCTTCCCTAAATACAGCTTGGTGTCATCCAAAGTGTTGTATAGAGTGAAAAACTGCTTCGTTTCCTTATGAGTTCCAGCCACTAGGAATTAAGTGAGGAATATCATAATCACATTACCTGTAACACGGTATATTTAGATTGCAGGTAATACAAGAAATTTGAAAACAAACATGTTTAAATCGCAGCCAGTAAGTTCAGACACAGCGGTTAATCGTCGGGCACGCGCGAGGGGATCAGTTCTGGCCAGCCACGCGCCAATTTCCCGCGCAAAATTTCAAAGGAAAACAAATACGTTCAAGGAGGGAAAAGGAAAACTCGCGATTTTTCGAACCCAAAAGTTTTTTAAGTACAGGTATCCTGTTGATTTACCATTCTGTTTAAAGCCTTGCCCAAAAGTCATACGCTTTTAAAACAACGGTATTTACTGGACTGTGTGGTTGTTTGTAGCTCGTGTAAGACAACTTATTTCCGACAGACTGAAAGCACACCACCAACACATCACCAAGCCATCCCTAGTCACCTAGTTATTACAACGTTCGCTCATGCGCAGACGTTTGACCACTGTGTTGAAGCACTCACCCATAGAAGCGCAGCTGAGGGAATTTCTCTTTATACAACATATACAATATTTAGACTGCTGCGTTCTAATATTAAAAAAAAATTGTTCATGTTTTCAGCTTTCATTGAGATATGAGATCATTGGGCATTTTGGAGAGCACTCGAGAAGGTAACCAGAATTGCTCGCGGCAGGGCCTCGTTAATTGACAGATAACGCATTGTTATGTACCATGATTGTAGAGTTCCACAAATCTTCTCTGATATTGAGTCAGCTCTGTACGAGAAGGCACCTCGTCAATCTTCCTCTGAAGTGAAGATATTTCTCGGTTCTTTCGAGCCTTAAAAACAAAAACAGCATCACCTAAACGACTGGACAAAAAATTGAGGGAAAGAAGCTGAAGCTCTCCATTTTTGGAATTTCCCTGAAGATTTGGATGCCAATCTCCCTTGTGTTATGCCACGCACGACTCCACAAGTGGTCCACGCGCGAAGCACTCGTGACTCCAAGCTTCTGCAGCGCCTTTCCAAGTAAATTGAGAACTAAATGTAGGAAACACTCATACCCTATCAAGAAGATGTTTAAAACATGATTACCAGCAGAAGTCTTATTTTCTCCAATTTTGCTTTATCGGCCTCGTATTGTTTGCCGATCAGTTCCAATCTTTCCTGAAAAAAAAAAGAGAAGACACAGATGAGTCTTCGATAAAATGATTTTATTTTATCACTTGGTTTACCTCGGTACAGTACCTTCTCTTCGCTATCATCTTCAGAGCCTTGAGACTTCAGTTTTTCCAAATTGTCCTGCAAGCGAGCCATTTCCTCCTAAAACAAACAAATGATGTAGAAATAAAGAAAACTCAAACAATTTTCTTAAAAAAATCGGGTAGTTCTCAGATACGAAACTTGAAGCAAAGCTGTAAAAATCAACAATTTCTTTTCGGGCGTTAGATACCATTTGTGATTTTAACCAATCACGACTACCACCTGGTCATGCGCGTCTTCCCGCGCTTTGTTTCCGTTGAGTTCTCATTGACCCCTTGTTACATTTAGCTTTGTTCTGATTGGCAGTGGCTAGAAGAGCACTCCTCTGTTTTTACGAAAACCAGCTGAATTGTGAGAGATTATTCAGCGTTAACTGATTTGTGGTTGATTTTCTGCTATAAGTGACAGATGATTGAACAATAGGATCATATTATATATTTAAAATGAGAGAGACCTGAGCGCAAGACGAGAACGGTGTGAGGGATAGGGAGATCAAGTTGGTTTACATAATAAAACGTGAAGTTTCGGAACATAGCGGACTGTTTAGTCTCACTTCCGACAGAATCTCTCGCCGCAGATTACAGCAATTTTATCGTGCACGTGCACAGAGGACGAAAGAAATTCACTTTCAAAAATTTACGTATTGATAACGTAACTGTAAAAAATATCTGTGATTGCTTGATGGTTCTGCTAAATTAAATCTTAAAACTCTAAGGCGGATCCAGGGGAGGTTCGGGAGGTTCGGTTGAACCCACTAAATTTTCCCTCGGAACCCTGGAAATCATGTTTCCGAAGACCTACTTTAAAAGATCTTGAGCCCCTCAGAAGGGGAACAATTCTCCGAACCCCCGTTGACTAAATCCTGGATCCGCCCCAGAAACTGAGCAATTAAAGCTCAATAGAGACACGAAATGGAATCCGAGATATACTTTAGTGTTGTGAAACGTGCAACCCTGTTAAAAGCCGTTTCTAAAAATTGAGTGTGTTTAGCCCGCTTTACCTTACAGTGCGACCTGAATTGTTGCTCTTGTTTCTTCAAATTCTCATTCATGGCGACAATGGAACGAAGCTTTTGAAGAATGCTGTGAGTAAAAGTATAACTGATGAACAAATATTGAGACAAACAACTACGCTTTTAACTAGATAACAAATGATTTTGTGAATAGTACTATTACTCTTGAAAATATAGAATACCTTGCATTTTCTTCACTTTCCATTTGATTGAACTTCTCCATTTCCTCGCTGATTCTCTCTCCACGAGCTACAGCCTACAAATCGGCATAATTAAAAAACTGCACTACCCCCATAAATTTCTTATAATTATAACTCCAAGGATTTAGTGTTCAATCAAACACTATACCTTAGTTTTAATAATTTCCTTTCTTCTCGTCACCTTTCTGCCTTAAAAGTATTGATATTATAAGGAGAAATTTCTTGTTTGGTCAATCCTGGTACTAAATTAAAAGGATTAAATAACAGCTCACTATCAGCCGCTCTCTCTAGGACAGTAGCGCAGGCTCAATTCCCAACCTGCAGCTAGATATCGAGTCTACTGAAATTGACATAAGTGATTGACGCACACCTCGACAGAAATTTTAAAGAGCTCAGTTATATTTTAACATTTTAATGCATTTCACTTACCTGTGAAAGCTGTTCCTCTGCCTCAGACAAAGTTTCTTGCAGTTTGTTATGCTTCTCTTGCACCTAGAAAAGAGGACAAAAGATTAAAAGAACGTTAAACTCAGTTATAAAAGTGTTGACAAGCAGATAGAAATGAAGGCACCTTTGGACTGTCTTTTTTTTCTCCTTGAAACAACAAAATACACTTACTTGTTCAAGTTTCTTCTCCTGTACAGCAATCTGTTTCTCAAGTGATGCTACCATCCTTTTGTGAGCCTGTTCACCTCCCATTCGCTCCCCCCGGGCTTCCATGTTTCCCTGCAGTTCTGCTTGCTGAATACAGCAATTTTAAACCATAATTCAAATAGAAGCCTTCTTAAAATAAAACATATCTTCCAACTCTGAAAGTCTTGCCGGAAAAGGTCAAAGTATATTAAGTATTTGTACTTTTGTTCGAGTTTCTGGAGTTTAAGAGGACTCCACTGTCTGTGTTTCTGAAGCAAAGTCAGCTTGATAATTAGGAACATGTTTTAACACGCCCTTTGATCACTAATTGTAAACGCAACACCAAAGAAAACACAGAGATTAACCAGAAAAAAAAAAGATATCACATGAAGCCAAGGAACTTCTGGTGAAATAAATGGCTTCAAGAAAAGGAATTCACCAATAAACAAAGTTGGTTTCAGCTTTGCTTTAATAGACTTTGAGGTGGGTATGAACCAGTCACATGTAGGGGGGGGGGGCAGTGAACTACAATCATAGCAATACCCTGGTACTAACTATTTTTTGACTCTTTATAAAAAATTCCATAGCAGTTGAGTGTACCTACCCTTTCAGCATACTCTGAGGCAATCTGGGAGATCTCATCTGATTGCAGACCTACAATGGAGCCCACTGCACTCGATGAAAGTGAACCCTGGAAAAATTGAGAGGTGATAGAACGCGATGATGTGTTTGTATGCAAAGCTCTTCATTGTTTATCTACTGCAAAAGCTCTTGTAAGTCCTCAAAGTGGCTATCAATTTCCATGGCTCCTATACAAAAATCGTATTCTAGATGGATTCAGGGGGAGTGGGCTCAGTAGATGGGAGAGGGACGAGGGGGGATTTGTTGGAAACAAAAAATTCTAGATGACGTTTTTATGAGGGACTACGTTGAGAGGTGGACCTCAGGGAGCACCTGTGGCTGGTGTTTCCACAGCCTACTTGCTTCTGAAGCAGTGCCCAAATTAATTAGACAAAGCAGTAAAATACCCCTCTTAATCTAAATTAAAATTTTACCTTTGCTAGCTGGTGTTTGTTAATGGCTGCTTCTCAAAAATTCCTACACAACTCTTTGCAACAGAGATGGGGGCTTAAAAGAGAGGGGGGGGGGGCTTTTAAGAGAGGAAAGTTTGTAGAGGAGGGAGTTAAAAAGAGAGGGGGCTTAATCAAAAGGGGCCTTCTGGTATAGTATTAGATAGTAAGAAAGGTGTATCAGAAAGGAGAAATTATTAGGGAGGGTAGTAAAGAGAGGATGTTTCTTGGCTGAGGGGGCTAAATCTTACCTTATTTCCTTCCATAGCAGACATTCCTTTCAGCAATGATTTCAGACGTTTCTACAATGAAGAATGGTAGCAAATGCAACAATTAGTGAGATGGTACGATTGCTGAAGAGCCTAAAAATTAAACACAAGTTTGATTTTGCATATTTTGAACTGTAGCATGGTTCCCAACAGGCTGATGAGTATAAAGCATTAATGAGACATTTCATATGTTGTAACCTCACTAACCTGCTCAACAACATATTCATCCTCTTCACCAGTGGATACTGGTTGCATTTTTCCTGGCACTGCAGCTGCAGCAGCTTTTTTCTTTTCTGCCTGTTCTTTCTCCTAAGGAATATTAATTATAAAGAGATAAAATGCATTAAGAAAAGATCACTCAGTGATTTTTGTTTGAAAAAACTTTCCTTGTGATAAATAATGCATGTATGGGTAGCATTGTTAACTGTAAGGATCTTATTGTTAATTCTCCCCTCTGGCTGCTACACATTTCCTTGTAAATTAGTTATGAGAATTTGGTGTTAGATCAAGATAACAACTTCTACCTGATAAGTTTGATTATTCTCATTACCTGGATAAGGTATGGATATCATGGTAAGAAGTTACATGTTAATCACTTCTGGAAGTTAAAGGATTAACATGAATGCATACTTTGTTGGTAGTCACTTGCCTTATCTCTCTGTTCCTTGCTGAACCCATATTGCCTGTTATCAAACAATACAAAAAATGGAAAATTACAATCAAGTTCTTTTTAATATAGAACATGGCCATTATTAACTAAAGGTTATTTTCACAACAAAGTATATCAATTGAACTCACCAGCCATACTCCAAAAGTGTTGTCCTAACCTGGGTTTCTTCGTCAGTTTGTGCCATGGATTCTGGTTTGCGATATCTTCTCTGTGGTTTATAGGTATCCTAAATAGGAAATAAATTAAGGTATGTAATGTGCTATCTCCAGTTGAGGAATAAAGGAAAAACCAGCATCTGCGGGCCCTGCTAGGAGGACAATACAAGCAACCAACCTTGAGGCTTTTCATTCCAATTATACACTTTGGCTTCTTTGTATTAAATTCTAAGTCCTTGGGAAAAACAAAAAAAAAAGATGGAAGGTAGCAATTTAACAATTTGACAGTGTATTAACGTGCTCTGTACTCTTATCAACATCGATATTCATCATCACAGAGGGCAAAATGTTGTGGACTCACAAGGCGCAGCACAATTATTTCATCACGTGACATGTTATGTGACACATTGATGTGACAAGCATTGTCTGTTTTCACATCTACAACTTCAAATTGGCTAATCAGATTGTGATATTACTGCTAATTGTGATAAAAAAGTATCTAATTATCACTCACAAACTGCTTGTCTTAAATATCCCATGAAGAAGTTGGTATCCCTGGAAATTATACCTGTGGAGTTGAGTGAAACTTGTTGAACTGTGACACAGAAAACTCTCTGATGTAGTCACCCATTTCTTCTTTTCTCTCAATTGCCTTCTTCACCAGCCACTGATGGAAAAAAATTAGACTTCAACTTCTTTTACTGGGCATTCATGCATTTTAAACATTTCATGAGAATTACAAATTGCAGTAAGTTTCCAAAGCATGATTCCAGACACAATTGAATGATGCAAAAACAGTTGGCTTATTGCTATAAGAAACCTAATAGTCCACACACATGTAGCTGTGCATTCTAAAAAATATCCATACCCCTACCCACAGAGGTTCTATAGAGTTTAATCCCCTCTCTATGGGCACCCTTCTAGAAATTTAGGATTTGTTTCACCCCTCTCATATACATTTTACTGCCTCTCCCCTATTGGTTTGGATATTTTATCATCTTTTACCTGGATCACTGGGAAAATGTGGATAAAATCCAAGCCTTGGATTTGATGGGGTTCAAGTCGATGAGGACATTTCATGCGTGGAAGCACAGCAACAATCTTCTCAGTCAAGGCTCTGCATGGGTCAACAATAACACATGGCTGTTGTAACATGGTGTAAAATGACATTGATTCATAACTAACAGCTATTTCTAGAGACAATTCTTAGATAATGGGAAAGACACTGCAAGGCTGTGCTCTAAGAAAATTGAAGGGAGCCCAGTACTCTGAAACTGTGAAATCCAGGGTGCCCAGCATATGCTTCTATTAAAAAAACTAAGATTCCAGAGTCGCTCAAGAGCAAAAGTAAGGCGCCTGGGACCACCGGGCACTGCTAGACCACAGCCCTGCACTGGTGATAAAAACAATACTATTTCTCCCACTTTCCATAGAGAAGTTATCAGCACATTTTCATGCGTAAAAGAGATGCGTAAAAGAGATGAGAAAAAAGAAAAATACTAGCTAGGGTATGGCTTCTTGCTCCTCTTTGAGAAATAAGGAAATTTCTATAGCAAAAGAACCTCAGTCATTGAAAGTAAATGGCTGTTTAACTTACATCTTTTGTCCAATGGTGGAATTTTCTTGAAAAAGAAGATCCACATCTATGTCAAAGTCACAGACTGATATACACCATGTCATGCCACCTACAACCTTGGATATAACATTGCATTTGAAATTTGATAGTTGATATTTCCTAAAAGTATTGTTCAAAAGAAGATTTAAAATTTTCGACAAAAACCTACACAGTGAAATACAGAATAGAAAAGATCCTTACTCAAACAAGTGTTACAGTTGAATGATAAGAGACAATACGATATCTTATCACCAACCTTGTCAAATGGTGACAGCACTTTGATTCTTGCTCTGAAGTATCCTGCAGCCAGGAGAAGTTCCACAGTTTCTGCCATTTTAATGTTTTGTTCTTCATCTTCCCGGGTCTCAATCTGTGGTAAAAATTATGGAAAAAGCCAAATTTGCATTTTGAATGGCTCTCATTGGTCACATTTTCCACAACTTTTAACAGTTGAAGTGGAATTTGTTTAACTGATTTAATCCCAGTTGTATAATTGACATCCTGTTTAAATCAGGAAGGAGGTTACTTATTGTAGATAGGGCTTCTAAGAAATATTTTGCAACTGGCTGATGTTCCTTAATGGTATGAGGTTGAGGGTGGGGATTAAGGCAATGTGAGACAGAAAGTTAGGACAAGCAACATGCCCCCCACCCCCTCCCCCTTCCCCCTCCACTCCTACTCCTTTCTATCAAAATAAGAGAGGAGAATTTGCTACCTTTCTATAATCAAGAAATGGATAGATATTCTAGTCTTCTCGGATAAGGACGAACAAACCATAGGCCCTGTCTCCTGGATGTATACAAAACATGGACCGGGGTCCATGGACCGCCCCTATGGAACCGGTCCATGGACCACCCCACTGGAACTGAGTTTTGTCATACACTAAATAAATAAATAAAAGGACTTCCTTTTACGCGGGGTAGTACAACAAAGTCTTGTGACTGTACATAGCTCGCAATACAGGAGTACTTTGTGGGTACGAGCAATAAATACTCACCTAACCTTTGGATCGTTTCAAGGCAGCTGCCATCTTGGATGAGGGAGCACGAAGGGGCTGGAGTGAGTTTGTGTTATCCGGCAACCTACCCCCTCCATGGTTATGCTTCGTTTAATATGGAAACTAAATGATTCTGTGCTCTCTCATTAAAATTACAAGCTATCCATTAAACATTTTCATCAATATACCTTGATTACAAATTTGTGTTCATAGGGTAAACTGGGGTCCATAGGGGTGGTCCATGGACCCCAGTCCATGTTTTGTATACATCTCCGTCTCCTGCAGGGTTAGCCGAGGGTAGGAGATGTTAATTTCCCATGCACGAGATTACTGTGTTGTGGATGTCCTCCCCTGGAGTGGGATGGTTGGGAATTGGCCCTGTAAAGCCCCCATGGTGAGTGGTCAACTAATGTGTGTATGTATATATGTATGTACCAATGAGAGAGTTTGTTCCAGGATTGGACAACTTCACTTCAGTTAGGGCAGAGTGTTCCACAATCACAAAAGTGGTACAAGCCAGAAAAATTCTCCAGCTGGCACTCGGATCACTGATATAGTTGTAAAGTTATTGGTCTTGTACAAATGTTTTCTCAGAAATGCTAAACAATAAAGTTAAGCCTGTGTTTACTAGAAAGCGACGGCCGTGATCAGCGGAAAGTTCCACCCTGTAACATTCCCAATCATATCGCTTCCATTCACAAACGATTCAATCAAGATCTTCCACCCCAAATGGGGGGAAACAGTCACCGTATCCGTTCACTGTCAATAGGACAATTTATATGTAACTGTAAAATGAGTGGGCGCTTCACTGACAAGAGTGTTTACATCATATTGCAACCGGAAATACCACGAAACAACACCTACTTTCCTTACAAAACTCGGCGAGTATTTTTAACAGGATTAACCCGAAAAGTTAATAAAATGAGCACCAACCTTTCTAACTTTTCCTTCCGCATCTACCTCTGGTTGAGAGAACTTCTCGCTAAAGGTTTTTACACCAGCAAATCGGGAAGAATCACGAGCGGCGGCCGCCATTTTGAAATCTTGCAATGTAACGAGCCCGCAATCAGAAGTTTTTACAGTAACCACGTGACGTTGTATGTGGATACAAATCGCTTACAAATTTTTATCATCGTAAATACAAACGAAAATATTAACTAGTTTTTTTATAAATTCGGCGATCGACTGTCTTTCTTTCAAAGGTTACATCACGGTGACTTATATGAAAGATTTTGGTTCGTTGTAAGGCTCAATGTCAAGAAGATTTCGCCCTGCATCGTTGGGTTCCCAAAGTGGGATTTACAGCGTTCGTGGATCTGAATTGGCCCGGAGTGGAAACACAACTCCTAATAAAATCCGATGTGTTGTGGAGCTTTTAGATGATTCGGAATTTGTGATTGATATTGATGTAAGTAAAAACAGTTTGTCGTTGTATAATTGTAAATTTGGTTCAGTTTTGTGTGTGTACAGAGCAAGGCGTTGTTGAATCTGTCGGGCTTCACACAGTTCTTTTGAAATAGCACTCGACAATTTAAGTTAATTATCCCGTGTAGAGAAGGATATGGATGTTGTTTAATTGTTGTTCGTCCGCGTTCAAGTTAAATTTACGACTCTACTGAGCTAAGCTGTACAATAGGATAAGCCTCTGTTTTGAAAATTATATGCGTAATTTCACTCTTGATTCTCACTTATTATTATAGTTGATCAATCTTCATTTGGGAAGAACACTTGTGAACCTTTTTTAACGCTCTTGAAAAGTTGACTTGCTGGTATTTTGTGGATTGTCCTAATTAACTCGCGACCATTTTACCATTTTCTAGCCTCGCAAATTGCTCTCGGTTTGGTAATCGCTCCATGTGCACTTTGAGTAGTTTGGGATTTTTGCGATGACGTTCTGGGCAAAAACCACAAAGGCATCTCGAATGATCAAACATCGCATGAAATTAAGGCGATTTTGATCGAGTTAAATGTGTTTAAAAAATAAACACCAAAATTTGAAAAAAACTGTCAAGCTCTGGGAAAACATCTAACTTTAAATTACGTTTTGATGAGCTTCAAAACTCCGGCGGTGTATTGTATATTTGCATTATCTTTTAAAAAAATCTCGGAAAGTGAAAGAAGCCGGAGAATGCTTTTGACAGTTACAAATTACGCATATTTTCACACCTTGGTGTTTTCTTCCAGTGAAAAATTTACGACGGAAAGAAGCAGAAATCCCATAGAGTGTTTTGAATTGAATCACCGTTTTCTCTTTTAGAACTTATGTGCATTTCTTCAATATATTCCTGTTCTATTTTTGATCACGATTTAGCTGTAAAGTGTCGAGAGCAGTTCAAATATTTTACTAGTATCATGTTGCAAGAACATTTTATATTTTTGATCTTGTCATCCAAATACTCAGCCTTTTTTGGGGTAAATTTCTAATGCACTATATATGAGATGATGGATATTATACTTTAATTCGATGTATGTAGTTTTTCATAGACACCGTTTCATCTGTGAGAAGATATATGTTTATGAGAAAAAAAATCCTACCAATTATAAATATTTAAAATCTTCAAAAGGATTTACAATTTTATTTAATGGGTTCTTCATTACGTGAACGGAATGTGAATGAGTCTGAGTCATCATTTTACTGTAAATCACTTTCTAGTTATTGTTTCATAATTATGTAAATGAAAAAAAGTAATTAACTTATTTTCAGTTATGTATTATGATGTCATTTTCAATTATATACTTGATTTTTTCCTATAAACCTCATTATTATTTTCTCTCTGTTGCTTTCACAAGGTATTGTCTGTGTGCTAGCACAGTATTAGATTTTTAAAATTATGTAATGTTTTCTGTAATAATTTTAGGTTTTCTCAGGAACATCAAGAAGATTAAAATTAGATAATATTTCTTGGAACTCATTTTCTGTGGTAGTGTGTTCAGTACACAGCATAAATCAGATAAGATGGAAATTTGATAATGATATCCTCACAAGTAGAAATTCTGACTGGCAATTTCTTACAATTTTTTAATTAAACCTTCAAATTTTCAGAGAGGTCTTAAAGGATCTGTCAAAAGGCCAAGTGAATTCATTCATATTTCTGTGTTAAATGTTTTAAAGCCAATTTAATTAATAAACTTGGGACTTAGCAATAGTTTGGATATTGTGAATAAACTTGGGACTCAGTTAGCAATAGTTTGGATATTCTGAATTATCAAAGTGTATTTATTCTTTTTTTCTTTTACCTGAATTTTAAACCTCTGATCATCTTGGACTCCAGTGCTATCAACAGATTCTATTTTTAGTACCATCATTTATAAAATGCTAAATTAGCATTATGAATCTTTGATGGCCCAACATTCTGGTTCAAATCTGTTTAATATTTTTAGCATCATTGTCTCACAGATTTGAAACAACTGTTTGTGATTTGCATCTGTAGAAAATATAAATGATAAAAAATAATGTGGTTTCCACAGATGTTGTTAACTACTTGATAATTTGTTAATCTGTTGACCACAGATTTTTTGTTGATGCTTCATCAATATGAGCTATTTCTTGACATTCCAGAAATGTTTACATTTTGTGATAGCTTTAAATCTTGCAAACATTCACTGTCTTTGCTTTATTTAGAAACATTCCAGGGGTGACGTTTTGCTGGAAGCTGTGTACAAGCATCTTGACTTGTTGGAAAAGCACTTCTTTGGTCTTCAATATGTTGCTGATTCTCCAGAAAACTTGGTAGATAAAGTCCAAATTTTTTCTGTAATGTTTACTTGATCGCAGAACCTGTGTCAAATTTACCTCTTTAGTAACCCAGTGACCCTTTCGCTCCCAAGAATTCAAAAGTAGACTAAGTCCTCCTTACTTTCCACCTTATTTCTTATAATGTGAGTTTGTTTTGTGAATTTTCCATTAACCACCTTTTCTCCTGTTTCATTCTTTATTAGCAATGGCTTACTTCTGAAAAGCAAATCAGGAAACAACTGAAACGTAAGTACTGATATTGTTACTTTGTATGTACAATAAAAAATGTTTGTGTCTTTGTTGCCACGTACATCAGGAGAGTCATTTCCTTTTGAAGGTCTTGTTACATATTAGGAACTTTTATAAGAGGTGGATAATAAATGCAGTTACACTAGACAACTAATTTGTTCATGAATGTGCCTGGATTCATATTATCACCTTCGAACTTTAGTGCGACTCACAAAGAAGTATGAACGTATAACTCTGTAGTGTCTAAAAGTGAAAAGCAAGCCACAAAAGGCAACCACGAAGACAAACAAAAACAGTACACACAGTACACGTTTTTAATGTAATCTTCTTGAGCTTACACTTCTCCAGATGTATACTTTTACATATACAACCGCTGTCCAAGTGTACTACAAACTCCCACTTTAATATGGATATATCAACAAAGTTGAAATGGTAAATTGGCCACCGTAATGATTACAAAAGCTGACGTTTCGAGCGTTAGCCCTTCGTCGGAGCGAAGGGCTAACGCTCCGACGAAGGGCTAACGCTCGAAACGTCAGCTTTTGTAATCATTACGGTGGCCAATTTACCATTTCAACTTTGTTGATATATCCATATTATGGTTGTAGTCGATAATTGTCCGAAAATATGCCGACTAAGTGTGTTGTAGAAGGATGTAGCAACGTGCGAAATTTGCAAGAGGGTATCGCGCTTCATACATTCTTCATACAACACACCTAGTCGGCATATTTCGGACAATATCGACGACAATCTTCCCAAACAAGTGAAAATGTGTGAGATGCAGACTTTCGTGTTCTCGATTTGACGTCACATTACCCGCTAGAGCCATTCTTCTTTAAACTCGGTCGTGGGGCAAGATGGCGGCCGATTTTCCGTAGTTTGACTGGGCATAGAAAATTAAAGATTTGAGCAAATTAAAAAATTTTTGCACAGAAATACTCCAAAAAATAAGCTTATTTCGTTAAGCGAAAAAAAAATTTTGGGTTTAGGTGCACTTTAAAGTGCTACTGAAACGTAATTTTCATATCCGAGATTTTTGCAATATACGATAGATAGATAGATACTTTATTATAAACACCTTGCAGCCATAGGCTGAATTATGGAATATGTACAAATACAGATGATAAAAAAGGAGGTATAAAATATTACAACTTTGTCATTAAGAAAGAAGGAACATTATCTACATCTTATAAATATGGCTAAAAATAAAACTGTTCTTCAAGTGCTTGGTTTTGCATGTGGGGAGAGTGAAATCACAAAGGCATAATAAAGTTTGAATGTTATTTGCAAACACTGTGTACTTTTTTTGGGCCAATGCATAGCGAAAAGTACATTTTTAACCATTCGAAGTTGACCGGCTGAGATCAAAATTGGCAGCCATCTTGGTGTGGCCAAAACAGCCCTGTGACGTCACTGGTTGTGTACTTCTGTGAAAGAAGAGTAAAAGCATGGAGTGTGGCTTGCATGTTGGGAAGCCGAAAAAGAGGATTTCGGGCAAAATGTCATATTCGTCTTCTTCATCGGTGGCCATATCGGCATCTTGGCTATCTGTGAGAGGTTCGCCTCGATAGGGAGCAAAATTCCCGTTCAACCCAAAATAGATGCCACCATCTTCCTCTTCGCTATTGGAGACAACTTCGCTTCATTCAGAAGAAGGTTCACTTGACAAAACTTCAATATCTGCCATCTCCTTTGCCCACGAATACAAACAAACAGTGAGTGAAATAAACCACGGTATCGGAGTGAACACAACCATTGACGTCATTAATCCATTTCGCTCGGTACCAGATAGCCTGCAGTGCTGGCGTATTTTGGGCACATGAGTGCACATTTTCGTATTAGGCTGCCATCTTAGGTATGGTAACTGTGTAGGATTGGGGTGAGGAAATATTTGCCGAGGGAGTAGGTGTTAAGTGGAAAAATGGGCAACGGGGGAGAGGGAGGGGAAGGAGCTTTTTTCCTTCCCCTCCCTCTCCCCCATTTCCCATTTTTCCACTTAACACCTACTCCCTTGGCAAATATTTCCTCGCCCCAATCCTCCACTGTTACCAAATCTAAGATGGTGGCCTAATACGAAAATGTGCAGTCGTGCGCCCAAAATACGTCGGCACTGCAGGCTAGGTACCAGAGCCCGGACATGGTTTTGTGTAAAATTTTTGATTTGAACGGTTAAAAAAGATATCTTATGCTTCTTTTTGGCCAAAGCAAATTATCTCATGATTATCAGCATATTCAAAACTACAGGTTAGAGCAAAAATTTCAGTTACGAAAATTTCATTTCAGTAGCACTTTAAGTCTTATGGTGATCGAAGATTTTCTATTGCAGGACCTAAATTATGGAACAGCATATCTGCATCTTTAAGAAATGCCGATTCCTTGAATTCTTTCAAAAAACACTTAAGACATATTTAATTCACCAAGCCTTTTTCGATTTGTAAATATATTTCTGATTAATTTCCATGCTTATATAGATTTTTCAGAGTTTTTTAACACATTTTGTGATATTGTTAAGCACCTAGAGCAATTAGTGATATAGATGCTATATAAATAAAGTTTATTATTATAATTATTATTAGTGTGTGAAGTGTATGAAGGTATGTTTATTTAAGGGTGATATTATCCATCCCCTCTCCCTCCAGCTGGGCTGCCAGTACAACTTCATTGTTCAGGGAACTAACTACACATCCTAACAGCAAGGCTGTGCTCTAAGAAAAATTGAAGGGAGCCCAGTGCTTTGAAACTTTGAAATCCAGGGTGCCCAGTATATTGCTTCTTTTGAAAAAAATTAAGATTCCTGGGTTGCCGAAGAGCAAAAGTAAGGCGCCAAGGGCCACCAGGTGCTGCTAGACTACAGCCCTGTAACATTAGCATTCACATTCTCCACACTCTTGCTTTCACAATTCCTGTGGTAATGACAAGGAGAATTTGTGTAATAATCAGGAGCTTCTTGAATTGGTGATCATTTTCTTTATTCTCATGACTTTAACACACACGATTGAAGGGTAATAGCAGTGGTGGTGGTAGCTCCTGGATATCTTAGGCACTCAACCTCTGTTTAGCAATGAAATTATCCACACTGACTATTAGGGACTTTAAGCAGTCAGGACGGCAATGCCAAGGAAGACTTTGATTAAAAAATGAATTTCTACTCTTGGTCAGAATTTCAAAAATGGCTGCATGAGCTTACTGTCTCATAAGGTGCCACAGCTCAACTTCAGCATGACGTATAGAAGTAGCGTTGAGTTCCAAATGGAAATGAAATTAATTTGCTGTCGCAGTTTCGGTTTGCAGACGACGCAAATTTTGGCGATTTCATGTTGTTGTTTTGCATAGGATGGCTAAGAAATGTACAAAGTTTCAAAACGCACGTGCTGAGCTATTGTTCTGCCAATTAGATCTCTTGTTTTTTCTCGTCCTCGTTGCCGTCGCCGTCGTGGTTGCTTAAGGTCCCTATTACTTAATTTGATGCAGCTACTTTTGATTTTTCCTTCACAGGTGGTCCACCCTACATATTTTATTTTAGAGTGAGATTTTTTGCCTCAGATCCTTCCAAACTTTCTGAGGATGTAACAAGGTATGAAAATTATAGATTATTCACCCCAAACTTGATGTATTATCAACAATTACAACCTTGTTCTTCTTATTAATTTCATGGTTGAAATATTTTCAGCTGTTAATCATTAATTAAATTGTACATTTGCAGATATCAATTCTATCTTCAAATAAAACGAGACCTTTTGACTGGAAGGTAATGTATGGTATCAAACTTTTAGATAAATAAACTACTCTTTTCTGGTGACAGATCTCTGATTTACTTTAACACATAACCTGCTCATTTGCAGGTTTACAAGACCTTCAACCCTTTACACCCTAACATCAGCATGCATATTCTCCATACTGCTCTCTCTCCATTTCACTTGGCATTGACAGGGAGAATTTGGTTACCAATCAAGAGCCTCTTTAGTTGGTGATCATTTTCTTTATTCTCATGACCTTGATGTTTGATTCAGGGGTGATATTGTAAGGAGAAATTTAATACTGGTCACACTGAGTGGTTAAAGGCTTAATATGAGTATGATTTCCATTTTGCAGATTGCCATGTTTGTATGACACTGCAGCAGAATTAGCTTCCTATGTACTTCAAGGTGAAATTTTTTTTCTTTCAAATAAATTTTTGTCATCAACTGGTTTAGAAATTACAAATTTAGATGAGAAATTTCAAGATGAGTAAACTTGCTTTTCTGAACAGGTCATAAATTCTGTTCAAAGAAATTTCTCACTGTTCTCCCTTGCCACTTGAGCCATTAAAAGATGCAGTCTTATGCTCAAAAATACAGCCAAATTTGTTGAAGTCAAGACATTCAAGGGAGATATTCTCCCAAAACATTCATTTCATTTAATTTATTAGATTCGCCAAGAGGCAGGGACACCGCAACAGCTTTCACCAATTACTGTGGGCCCAGTACCCACCCATCCCACCCCAGGGGAGGACATCCACCACACAGTAATCTCGTGTGTGGGAAATTAACGTCTCCTACCCCTAACCCTGCAGGAGACAGGGCCTAGATAGATAGATAGATACTGTGAAATTACTATGTACATGTATACATTTTATTATTAAAACTACATAGTTCATTGTAAGGGGGAATTTGTACATTATTTGTGGCTGTTGACTATTCTGGCCGAAGCAATAAAAAAATTTTTTTTTTAAGTCCATTTGTCTTGCAAAGTATCAAAGCAAAGGTACACTTGTGCCTTAACCTATGAGAGCTTACATAGCAGGGTGGTAAAAGTTTACTTTATTTGTGCTGATGATCATTCATTATATCGCGAAATGTTGCTGTACACATATTTTCATGGTGGTCTTTCACAGTTGGAAGATTCATAATAGCTAAGGCCTGTTCGTATTGCATACCAGGACAAATGATTCTCGTAGATCCTGAATATGTTCTAGTTCTTGGTGGAGGTATTCAGGAAGAGAGTAAGGAAAAACTTGTGCTGCATAATCAATTATGGATCGTACACATGCCGTGTAAAAGAGGCAAAGGTCTTTTGGTAGAACGTGAGCTCTTTTTAGCTGAACAAGGAAATAGGTTCTCTTCGCTGCTTTCTTGGGAATCTCAGTTATATGAGCATTCCATTTCAAATCTTCGGAGATGGTAACACCCATGAGCTTGGCTTGTTTAACCAATTTCATGTGTTTACCATCTATTGAAACTGGATCAAAATCCCTTGAAATTGAAGAGAAACCAATTCACAGCTCTTTGCATTTGTCTGTGTTTAGTATAAGTCTGTTTTTCTTCGACCACTCTATTCCTACGGTTTATTCGCCCTTATCCGAGAAGACTAGAATATCTATCCATTTCTTGATGTTATAGAAAGGTAGCAAATTCTCCTCAGTTATTTTAAGACCCTGAGTGATGGTCCGGCCGGGGCTTGAACCCTCAACCTCCCGCACAACAGTCCAGCGCTCTACCGATTGAGCTAACCAAGAGGCGGATGTGCATGTTCTATTCCAAACCTATTTTTGTATGCACAGCATCCTTACTTATTGACTGCCTTTCTGGTCAACATTTCAGGTGAACTTGGTGACTATGACTCTAGGACGATGCATGAGGCATATGTGTCTGAATTCCGTTTTGTACCCGACCAGGTTTGTAAATTGTTTCTCGCTTCCTAATGCTTTGCTGATTTTGTAAACATGCTGTTTTTGTAGTAAATGTTGGGACATGGCATAATATTATTCTTTGTCCTGTTTGGCTGTAGTGATAACTTCGACTTTGGTGTTTATAATTTCCTTGAGACATGTCTGAAAACAATTACATGTACAGCTGTATGTTTGCATTCATTCATGGGATTGAAAGTGTACAAATATTGCCTCAAGACATGGAGGGTACTTGCACATGTATACAGGATATTACAAGTGAGAGAGATAGAAATGGAAAAGTACTGATATTTCTTGATGGTGTGTGCTACTCAAAGCTTCATTTTTTCTCTTTCCAGTCAGAGGATTTTGAAGAGAGGGCCGCAGAATTTCACAAGCACCATGGGTAATATATTTAATGATTGATGATAGTTTAATTGTATTCCTTAATAAGACATTCTATGGAGTCAACTTGAATCTAACTGAAATGAATTTTTTTTTTAAGTGGCCAAAGTCCAGCAGATGCAGAATTCAATTTCTTGGAGGTAGCTAAAAATCTGGATCTCTATGGAGTAGATCTACATTTTGCCAAGGTATGGGAGACAATTATGTTAATAAATTTTTTGGTTCAATCTTCATGTGCTGTGGTCACAAATTTCTATGAGTTAACTGTTGTTGTTTTATTTTTTGAAATTGTATAACCAATGGCTAGTTTGGTCCTCAAATGTTGTGATAGTTTTGATTAATTGGGAACAGGACTTGTGTCCTCCAGTTTTGTCTGTAATCACAATGATTAACAAGATCAAACTCGTGCCTTGTGGTTGTAATCATGTGAATGATTAACAAGATCAAACTCGTGCCTTGTGGTTGTCAGATTACAGACTGAAGTGGACTCCACTCAGTCCTATTAGTAATTACCATTACTAATTGTAAGTGGTATTCAGTAAAGTGCATTGTATGGTCCATATAAATTCAAGAATAACTGTTTGAACGTTATGGACCACAATGAGAACTACTGGTTCTACCAGTAATTGTGTTATTCAATAAAGTCATTATCTTATCTTATCTTATCTTATCTTAACGTCAAGGTTCTTGCTCCTTCCCTTTAGGATCAAGATGGCCTTGACCTCCATATTGGAATTTCACCTCTTGGTTTGACCGTTTACCATAACAGATGTAAAATTAATTTCTTCCCATGGTATGTAGAAATGAGATCATAGAACATCGAGGGTGATCTGCAGGGGTCTGGATAAAAACTACTGGGGGTCTACTGCTGCCGGCAAGACCTCTTACTGTAGTTGTCTTTTTAGCTTATGAACAGGTTCTTGTGTCTGGGTTTTGTTTTATGCCCTTTTTTTTGGACACACTTGTCTATCCAGCAGGGTTTTCGTTTGAGGCCGGAGGCCGGACGTTTCGTCCGGTCGTTTTCCATTCCATGTCCGGTACTTTGATTGCAATATTTGAGGGATTTTTTATTATTTTATTATTATAATTTGTTTTTACTTAAGCATCTCATGAATTGACTGACTAGAGGGTAACAGAATACTGCAATTGAATTCTTCAAAAGTGCCACAAAAGTGCCTGGAAAACTTATACTTGCTTTCCAGAAACGCTAGAAACAACGTTTCTGAGTGTTCTTTTAAAAAAATTTCCTGGGGGAGCATGCCCCCAGACCCCCTTAAAAGCTTGCGCTTTCAGCGCTCGAAAAGCGCCTTGCGGCGCCAAAAATATGTCACGTCTGGTGCTTCCACGAACATGTCCGCTCCTTTACAAAACTGTCGAAAACCCTGTATCCAGGGTTTTCATTTAGTGCTGGGCACTTGGCAAATTTACCGATTGCGAGGGAGGTTTTGCCCACCTGGTTTGACCATCTAGGAGAAAGTTTATCTCATAACGAAGTTCAGCTCAAAAAGTTTTGCCTGCCTGTGGGAATGAGTTGCCCTCCTGTTGAAAACAATAATGAAACCCCTGTCTATCACATCAGTGCAGCCACTCTCGGAAAAATGTTCTTCTCAGTTGGTTTTGGTCACTAACAAAAATTTGCTGTGAACAAACTTTCCTGAAAAACGTCCTCCAGGATTTATACTAAATCGTAATTAGGCATTTTCAGTTCTTCACTCTTAATACTCAGTAACTGAGAAGTATTTTTTTTACTTGCAGGTCAAAGATTGTAAAAGTTTGTTTCAAAAGGAAAAGATTCTTTGTTCAGATACGACCTGATTGGGTAAGAGTTCTATGTTTATACAAGTGTAAAACTGCGAGCAGTCTCTCCTTTTCGGCGAAGTCTGTTGTGCGAGTACAAAAAAAAAAATGCGGAAAAAGAAAAAAAATTGATGATAGAATGGTGCGTGGACTTCTTTGGGTGAGGGGCACGAACCCTCTTTTCGTGCGCGGCGTGTGAACATCAATATTTTTTCGCGCGACAGACTTCACCGAAAAGGAAAGTTGCTTATAGTGTATAGAAGTATTTTCATAATAAAATTAATATCACTGAGCATCAAAGCTCAAATTGGAAAATGTGAGCTTTAGAACTTTACCATCTTTCTAATTTTGTTTACACGGAGCTTTTTGTATTATGGTAGCATTTTATTTTACTAACTTACAATATTTCTTTCTTTCTTTCTTGAACTAGACTTAAAAGATACAGCACAATTTTTGAGGATATTGTCAATTTTAACATGCTTAGTTTTATTTTTTTTAATTTGTTTTCAGAATGAATGGACTGATAATGTCATTGGTTTTCACATGCCAACCTACAGAGCATGTAAAACACTGTGGAAAACCTGTGTTGAATATCACACTTTTTACAGGTCAGTTTTCACTCAGCCTGCGTGCTGGATGCGCGTGAGATTGAGATCCGCACGCGCGAGCGAGAATTCACGCGCGCGATGATCAAAGGGGCTTTCTTTCGTGTGTCGTATACGCGTATGTATTGCACCGTGACACCCACGCGAGCAAGAGCATATTTCGCGCTAGTTTTAGCAAGACTACCTCGTGAAACCATTCAACAATTTTCACCTGAGTGCTTGATTTATTTTAAAATTATTATTTTTTCTTTCTTTTTTATAGGACCCATTTTCCAAAACCAACAAACAACAAAAGCACGCTTGTTAGGATCGGCTCCAAATACAGATACAGGTAATGTTCGCACGCTGCAACACCGTGCAAATAGATCTTATACCTGGGTGCATTTACAGAAAATTATTTTATAGTGATCTCCTTGATACATTTTTTTGCAGGGGGAAAACGGAATACCAAGCGATAGAAGAAGGCAGAAGACAACCCAGAACTGAACCTAGGATTGTGAGGTATGTAAATTTATATCTCTGTAATGCAGGTCGTTTTTGCGTTTTACACTTTCTGTTTTCTTAAGTGTAATGGGACGTGTGCTCATACGACCGAATTTCCATGGAGTGTCGTAAAACCAAACCACTTAGAAAGTAATTACATTAACCAATCAGAGCAAAGTATAACACCGTACCTGTGGTTGGGTTTTATTTTACCTCTGATTGATTGAAAGGTTGGTGGGTTTTTGCCCGATCAATCACAAAGCGAGGTATAAAAAAAACAAGGCAATCTGATTGGTTGAGAGAGTGGCGCGATTACTGAGCAAAGTAAAGCAAAACCAATGCAGTCCAGGATTACGCGGGTAACTCAATTTAAAATTTCTTTGGTGCAGATGTTTTCTTACTGTTTACATGACTTAAGCTGGACATGTATTCCACAATATCTACTATGTAGTGTTAGTCCTTTGGTTGGTAACAGGAAGAAAATTATATCGATTCCTTGGTCGCTTACCCGAATGGGCAAGATACTCCTCTTTTTCCATCCCATGACTGTCCGCTCTTTTCTTTCCCTCAAGCTCTGATATGGGATTTCTTGCGTTGATTGAATTTACTCCACCGTTCTCTTTTTTTTAGGACTCTCAGCAGAAGATACTCTAAAAGGAATGGCGACGGTAAGATGCAATAGGAATCTCGATACTTGAAGGAAAATTTTTTACGAGTTTTCTCTGCATTTGTTTTTAGTCTTGATTTTCGTAATTCTGTTCAGGTTCTCGGCGGAGAATTGACCTTGATCACGTGTTTGACAAAGATGACATGGCATTTAACGACAAATCCGCTAGTCTGAATTACTCGTCATCTGTTCCGTCAAACTTTGACAAGTAAGTGAGCAATCTTTTCCGATTTCTCGATTCTGGGGTACGGCTACATTTAATCGAAGATTACACGAATTTTCTACCCTGTTAAAAACTTTTAGTGAACAATTTAGCCACTTGGAATTTCAGTCTACCAGTTTGGGAAATTTAGGCTTCGCTTTGTACGCGCGTGCGAAAACTAGTACACCTACTCATGCGCGAATAACTGGCCGCCAATTCCGCGGGCTTACCATTTCATCGCGGGTACCAATGAGATTACCGGCAAATTTTATGACTTCTATATATGATGAATTTTATATTGCTTCGTTGCTAGAATGAACCACTCTTTAGTTCGAAGCAAGAGCCTTGGAATGGCAGACGCCGATGGACATATGAATCGATTGAAACCTGTTCTAACGCCAGAATTACATGTAAGATGGGTTATGTATAACATAGTCTCCTTCGCAGCCGTTGTTGAGCGTCACGCAACGCTTCTTGAGGAGGGGACTGGGGCGGGTAAAGGGGTCGATGCAAAATCCTATAAGAAATATCTGAAAGTTTGATTTATTTTGCAAGCCTCGTGTAGTGTTATTGAAAAGGGAAAAGGATGTGAAGAAATGGTCGGACGGCAGGCGGGGGGGGGGGGAGATGATGCGACAAACAAATGGGCAAAAAATCGAAAAAAAATCAGTGTCAAATATTTGGTGACGCTGCCACTAATCCTAGTGTTTACGTCTTATCGTGCTTTGCCTGCATTTTGCGGCACGTTCAAACGAACTTTGAACTCTTACGTGATATGCAGTTAAATGGGTGAATTCCACTTCTCTTAAGCACTTACTGCTCTCAAAAATTACCTCACTCTAGCAATAGGCTAACATACATACCTCACCCCAGAATCTCTTCAGTTAATTGTTTTTCCTTTGCTTCTTATTCTTTTCTTTACTTACTGTTGTCAGTGGTGATTCCCAAGAAACTTATATTCTTCCATAAGCGTTTCGTGCTGCCCTTGCCGGTTTTTGCTAGTTTTCAGCGTAACCGGTTTTACATGGACATTTTGGAGCATATGACTTTGCTTCGGTTCTTACAATCGCTCCGCCTCTCATTTTTCTACTGCATGCAGGCCGTGTGCATACTGTTCTGTTGCGCTACCTGAGTTTCCTTGCTTTCTTTGTCTCTTTTCTTCGTATCTTTCTCTTGGCTCAGCGTAAAAGTGGTACTTCTAATGACTCTTGTGGTTCTGATATGGAAGACGAGGCGGCTGGATGCGGTTCTCGTTCGGTATGTATGAGAAACAAAACAAGGACAGTAAAAATAACTCTGGAATTTTAGTCATGCTTATGTTACTTTCCCATTTTCCATTAAAATGCGAACTTCTAATTTGTTATCTTTAACTGTTTGCATTTCTCTGCTTTCCTCATTCGACAGCAGTTTTTTCACTTCCAGAGTTTTTCCTCTTGGTTTCTACTACAAAACTCCTAAATATGCATTATTCATGTTTACGTGATGATGTTCAGTAAATCCAGCCATGGATGTTCTAAGCTTGAAAATTAGATTCCATGCAAATTTTCTCAACAGTCTTACGTTGTTTCTTGATCAAAGCACAGCCAAGTTGTTTGTCCTATCTTGTGGACTAGACGGAGAGAAGAAATATTTTTTAAGAACGCGAGACGAAAACGAAAGCGTTGTTTGTTCCTTCCTGTTTGCTTTTCCCCTGAAGACTTGATACGAAAATCCCTCTGTGTCAAAATATTTGAGATGTGCTCCCAAGCATATTTATCTTCTCTTGGAAATGACCTTCCTATTTCACATTTTCCATTTGCCATTGCACATTTGCTTTGCTTTCATCGCTTGAATTTTTCCATTCTCACATTCACAATTCAACTATATCCTCTCGAAATTGTTATCTTCCACCCAGTTTTATTAATTTGTACCTCTTTAGATTGTTTCCACGCTTTCAGATTATTATTTATACAAATCTTTTTTTGGGAGGAAATTTTTGTGTATCTCCAGCAATTGAAATATTCGTTAACACAGAGATAACAGCTACAGATGTGAATATGTAAATTTGCTCAGATGCAAAAATAGGTATTTGATCATATATTTAGCGCGTTAAACCCACATTTTTATTTTGTATCTTTTAACTTGATTCTTAGGTTATTTTTTTTCTGCTTTTTTCGCAGAGAAATGGTTCTGCTAATCAAGAAGGTCTCATCACTGTAAGGTAAAGAATACACGGTTTCTTTTGTTGTGTGCGGGGAAAATACCGATTTATTTGTTCGGTTTGTCTTCTATTTTATTCAAATTTTGATGGAAGAGTTTTACCTTAGCTGCCTCTCTGTCATATGCACTGACAACAAGGTATTGTTAGAGATTTTAGCGCATCCTTTTTTTTCTTGTCTTGGCAAAGTTTTGAGGGACAGATTAACCATGCATACATGTAATTATTGATTGTTTTACCTCTCAGAATGGAACCAGATGAACAAGGACGATTCGGTTTTAACGTCCAGGTAAGTGATTTTTAAACTTCTGCGGTTTACTGTTTCACGTAGAAATTCTTTCATTGTGATCTTTTCTCTCTTGTAGGGTGGAGCTGATATCGATTTACCAGTAATTGTGTCCAAGATCGCCCGAGGAATGCCGGTGAGCCTTAAGGTTTTTATTTGTTTTGTTGTACAGGGAATTAATTGAACAGTGCCGTTCGCGAGTACCGTAACATTATACGCGTTTATTTCCCACGCACTGCATAAGCTCTAGAAAAGGAAAGATTTTTTAAATTATTCTTTGACAAGCGAAGAGTAAAAAAATTTAGCGTTTAAGTTTTAGCCACCTTTCTTTATCTTCCGCTACAAAGGACACTGCCAACATTACTGACCCCAGCACAATACATATTCATTCGACACTTGTACGGAATATCATGCCGGACCTTCTTTCAATAGGCCATTTTACAGTTGTGTACTTAGTTGCCAAGCCTTTGATTTGGAGTGAGGCTGAAGGTGACCTCGTCATGATAGAGACCTGTATCTAGTTAGCATGATAACAAAGTGATTTACATTTGAAAGACAGCAAGGTTTGTATCATAGCAAGGTCACCCTCAGCCTCACTCCCATTCAAAGGCTTGGTAACCAAGCACACAACTGTAAAATGGACTATTGCGGAAGGCTGGGGCGGAATGTTGAGTTGCAATTTTCCCAGGCTGTTAGTTATCAACCCACCACAGCGGACTTCATTATGAAAGTCGTGTATGCATGGGATCAAATTAATTAAGTTCAGGATTTTGCCTCGTTTCAGTGCTGCTATACAAAGTTGTTTTGTCACTGCTTTTGTTATTAGGCGGATATGTGCATGCCGCAGCTCCAAGAAGGAGATGAGATTGTCCACATTAATGGAAGAAATGTCATGGAAATGCCGCATCAAGAAGTAGGAAACCTTTCATAACTGATCATTTTACTGAGACTGGCCTGTATCTTTGTAATTATACTGTTTTTTTTTTTTATTTTTTACCGCAATTCTTGTGTCACAAACCAAAGCTTAAGTAACTGCGGTAGCTAAACAATATATGGGTAAGCATCACATGAAGGTATTTTCTACTCAAAGCGCGGGAAAACGTGAGTCGTGATTGGTATAAGGTTCAATCTGATAGGTTAAAATAGGGACGCGAATTTTCTGAACCAATCAGTGGTAAACCGTTACGTGTAAGTGGGGTCACAACCGTGAGGCTTTGAAGGGCCTAAAAATTGCGATCGCAAAAAGGTCGAGCAATTCAAACGATTTTCTAATATTTTGATGAATAAACTTAGGCCAAACGGGCGCAGATGATCGCAGCAGACTTTAATAATAATGATAATAAGGAAAATACCTGCTTACAGTTTTATTTGGTTTGGTTTTAGATTGTGGATCTTATTAGAACAATCAGCAAATCAAACCGACGACTATTAATAATGACAATAAGACCATTCGGTAAGAATTATGTTTTTCGTCTGTATTTATTATGTCAAAATGGGTCAACCCTATCAAGTCGTTAACCCCATCTTTGCTGTAACTTGTTCTTTTATCTAAGGTCATAGCTTCCCTTAGATAAAATGTCATCGAAGTCCATCGCAGGTTACTCCCCCTTTCCCCCGTAAATAATTTCAGGAAGTCTCCCTGATAGTTCCCTGGTATGCTTTTATACTCCGGGGTAGAGTTAGACTGGGCGACAGGAAAGTGTGTCGCTTAAGAACGCCATGCAGTTATCCTGAGAGGGCTCCAATCCACATCTTTCGATTCGGAGTCCAGTCCGGATTCATGAACCTCCAGTCCGTCTCGCAAAACAGACCCGAACTTTCGCTAACTCCCAGTGGGTAAATGTTGTATTTATAAGTTCAAATGAAGACTGTAAGGTGAACATTTTTCAATTGCCTAAGGTAAATTCCATTTTGATGTTTTCCTTTCCAGTTTTCGCAAATTCTGCTCCGTCGCCAGTGCATGTTGTGAGTCCGGAGCAGTTCGCCGCAGCTGAACAGAGACACGAGCAGGAAAAGGTTGTTGCCAAACAAGTGAAAGAGAAAGAAGTTGTGAAGGACGCTGAAGCTCTTCGTGTTTCAATGGATCAACTCCGAGAGGTAATATATGCTTAGAGCCACCGGCTAGAAAACGTATGACACACTTCCCGGCCAAAGAGAACAAAGGAGAGTTGAGGGAATAACAATTTGCCGCAACTTTGTTCAATTGTGGTAACTAACCTGTTACAAATTGATATGCCGCTATAAGTTGTCATGAGTTATGTTTTTACAACTACCTAACGTCCGAGTAGGCCGTTAGGCTCGTGCCGAAGCACTGATGACGAGGGTGTCCTTGCGAGCTGTAACTCAGTACCTGCTATTTTCTGCGGCCACATTTTACCCAGATCTCCCGCGATGACGCCACCTGTAATAAATAAAGTGGGTTGTCCAGTGGTAATGCACTGTTTGCTGACATATTTTGTTGATTATTTTCCAGAATCTCGAAAGCGGCGATCTGCTTGTGTACTTTCAGGTGAGCAGTTCGGTACCGGTCTTTATTTAACGTAGTGGCTCTACTGAACCAAATCTATCTCTGTTTACTTTCTTTTTTTGAGCAACAAGAAGCATTCTTACTTTTCCCAGACGAGGTTTTAGTGCCTGACACCTAGAATATTACACGACTCATGACTGACATAACTGTCTTTTATCGTAGGAATTGTACAGAAAAAAGCCTGGAATGTCCATGGAAGAAGCGAGAAAGCCCGAAAACCTTCCGCGTAACAGATACAGAGATATTTTACCTTGTAAGAACTTACGCTTATCTACCTTTTTTTTCTTTTTGTGATTTTTTTTGTTCCTTTTTTTGTGTATTGTTTTGGCAAGGAAAAAGTTTCAAATTGTGTTTTAACTCATTATACTCACAGACGATGATACACGATGCAAACTGTATAAAGGAAAGAATGACTATATCAACGCTAACTACGTCACGGTGAGTAACACGTGACCTGAACATGTGACTAACATGTGGCCTACGAAGTAAATGAAGTTGTCGCAGATTTGTTGAGTGGCTAATCAGCTTTTTTTTTTTTTTATTATTATTTTTCAGATGGAAATTCCTTCGAGAAGAATACTTAACAGATACATTGCTGCCCAAGGTCCACTGGAGAAAACGTGTGGGGATTTCTGGCAGGTAATTGATGAATACATTGTCACTGATTTAGCTCGATGATTGTACACGTGTTCTCACCTTTTTAACGCTGTTATCTGTTCCATGAATTACAGATGGTGTGGGAGCAAGAGGCATCTCTTATTATTATGTTGACTACCACTGTGGAGAGGGGAAGGGTAGGATAACCAGCACTAAGTTTATAGCTTTAGATTGTAGTTATCCTTGTCTTTCTTTTTTCTGGAAATCGTAGTCAAAAATCTTATGTTCCGTTGATTTTGTAGATCATTACTCACGTAGGAGTTTTACGAGGGTAATAGATTCCGGTAGTATGCAAGTCCGTGTGGATGGGTGGCCAGTTTTTCGGTAACCAAAGTAAGGTAAACCTCCTGTGTGAGCAACCGCCATCCCACCTTCCCTCCCTGGGGGTTTGGAAGTATATCCTCGCAAGGTGTGTTAGGAGTCACTTGTAAGAGGCTAGACTGACTCATTACTCGCATTGAGAGGTGTCCAAGGTCTTCTCGCCTGCACATTAGCTTCATTTTGGGACTAGGACTAGCAGAAACAGGCTGAGCGGGGACTGGAGAAAGAGCGGGGACTGGAGAAGAGCGTAACTGTCTATCGAAGAATTTAGACTAGTAGTGTTGAATTAAATATTTTTTTTGTGCTTTTTCAGGTGAAGTGTCACCAGTATTGGCCGGAAGGAGAGGAAACGCTTACCTTTGGAGATCTAGAAATAATCTGCACCAAAATCCGTGACTTCTCACCTTCGTACATTTACAGAGAAATGTATGTCACCGAAACGAAGGTAAGCGAGCCTCAAAAAATACTTCACCGCGAGTAAATCGTACCGTCCTAATGACGAGCGAGGCTTTCGGCTTTTTTCGGACGCACTCGAATTGCGGCGGAAAAACCTGACTTCCCCGAACGCGTTTTACGAACTGTGTTTGGTTGACATTTTGTGGTCCAAAGTAACACTTTTTCACCGTGCTGCCTCAGTATTTTTGGGAAATCATTAGTTTGATGCGCAGAATAATTTTTTGGTTTTTCCTCTGAAAAATCGTTTCTGTTCTTTCTATTTATAGAGTCTTCGAAGCCGTGTAGTTGTTCAGTTACAATACATTGCGTGGCCGGACCATGGTAGGTAACGCTAATGTACGACCACCTCACCCCTCCCTAGCAAAAACTTTGACTTAATTACTCAACTTCCAATATTCATTATTTTGAAGATTTTTGTAGAAACATTTTGATAAATTATTTTTGGGATTAGGACTAGATGTTTTTGACAAAAACATCGCTGATTTAATAGCAAGGATAAACTAGTTTTTATTTGTAAAAGGTTGTTATTCATCGCTGTAGAAGATACTGGCACGAAATGCCACAAGTTCTTTTAGGGCCTGATTACATGAGCCGGGCTGGCCCTGTTAACCGGGCTGATTCCTTTTGTTTTGGTGTTCGCCAAAGCGTGAAAACAAAAGAAATCAGCCCGGCTAACCGGGCCAGTTCGGCTCATGTAATCAGGCCCTTAGTCTGAAATTTCTATGGTTTTCGAAAGGTCACCACAGATAGCCGTCAGTTTTAAAAAATCTAATATCGGTTTGCAATCAGTAAATACGGTTCGGAGCCTTATCTGAACTTAATCCAACATCTGTCATCAAAAGAGACTGCACATTCTAGATATTCTTCAAAGTTAAGTAACCCAGTATCGTTTGTGTGTCAATAAACATATTACAGCTGGAAGAAATCTCTTGTATCGAAAAATTCGTAAAATGTTCCTCGAAAACTGAAATTTACACTCAGTAGAATATTTGATTTGCAAAATTAAGTTTGAAACGATTGGCGAGACTTCTGGTAGACCTTTAAAAGGCCTTTTGTCGAGTATAGCGCCAATGTTTTGGGTCAGTTTACAGTTCATTTGATCTGCTTTATTCGCCGTAGTTTTACGCGAAGCTCCAGCTTATTTGTGAAGAAAACTTTCCGCCAACCATGTGCCTTCGCCAAGGTCTTCACTTCATCTGTCATAGTGTCGCAGTAAGCCAGATAGATCTTTTCCCAGAGCTGGTCGCTTGCACAGATCTTTCTCGTAAACTTGCAAACAGCTCCTAATTGAACTATGTCGACGAGGTCAAGAAACGAAGCGATATGAACAATAACACGAGGCGGTAAGCGAATTAGCCAGTCTCCGCAAACGATAGCGTGAACGTGGCGGAGTGTTTCTTCACCAAATACACGGCTAATATCGCCTTGTAGGAGCGCATCGTCGTCAAAATCCTCCCAAGGAACTCTCTTTTGGTTTGGCGGTAACCCTCTCTGATCTCTCCGGATCGCAATTCTCCATGTTCGCCATATTACTTCTCTTTCATTCACGACGAGTTGATGAAAATCTTTGCTCGGCGGGGGCGCCTGGCCGACCTTCTCTATGAAAGCTTTAACTGTGCTCATTATTAGACACCTTAAAGCTTGTTTTTGCTCGAGTTTTTTCAAACCCAAGTTATAGTTTGCTTTAAAATTTGGAATGTAAGAAGATGAAACCAGCTTACTGTACAGAATGCGTTCCAGTCGCGTTGAAGGAGTGTTCAGATTGCGCGGGAAATCCTAACCAATTAGAGGCTTTCCTTGTATTGTGTGTGAAAATCCATCGGTCACTGAGGAAAGCAAAAAATTTAAATCGTTGGAAACTGTTCCTGGTTTTATGTCGCTTTGTTCTGTTTCTTTACCCAAACAATAGCTAAATCATTGGAACCTGGCTTAAAATGTGTTTGTTTAAAAAGGAATATTTAGCGGTAGGCCACCTGGTCAAACATTTCGACACTTTTCCTTGTGTTTTCCAAAATGCATATGATTCTACGCTACTTGTAACCAATAGTTGTAAAAGAATATCGATAAATGGTTTATCGCCATCATCAGAACCCATGATGAGTAATAATGAGTTGGAAGTCAGATTTGTATGCCATCAGCTTTAGCGCTTTCTCATTTATCGCTTTTGAAAACGAAATTTCCTTTTGTTGACAAATTAAAATTTTCGGCGAATTTTTTACAATGGTTTGTTAATCAACTTGCAGCGTTTTTTTTTTTTTTTTTTTAATCAAAGCGTTTTTGTTTTAATCGAAGCTTTTCCTCAAAGTTCTTAGTATGAGTCTTTATTCATTAACCTTGTGTTTATGTCGCTTATCATCGATGATAATGTATCTAGGAGAAACGTCTTCAAAGGTTTATGATAATTTAATTTTTAATTTTATACTGTTTTTGTGTTCCTTTGTAGACGTGCCGGACGATTCAACAGATTTTCTGGAGTTTATTCACATTGTTCGTCATTACAGGGAAGGAACAAACACTCCTACAGTGTTGCATTGCAGGTAAACAGACAAATAACACTGTATTTTGAGATAAAGCTGAAGAAACTTAGTATTTCTTTCAAAAAGAGTCGCTTTGATATAGTTTGGTTTTGAAGTTGACAATTTCAGCGGCCAAGACTGAAAAACATCGTAATGCACTCAATTTTTAACAGCTTTTCACCATCTGTTGAAATCTAAAAGATTCTATTTCTCTAGCAAAACTTTGAGAGATAACGCTAGCGAGTGTAATTCTACAGCTAAATTTAAGCATTGTCACGCTGAACAAGTGGACGTGACACTCAAAGTTACCGTTTCTTCAATTTTTGTGATTTGTGCGACTTAATATTTTTGTCTTTTTGTCTTTTTTTTTTTTTTTTCTATTTTGAAGTGCCGGTGTTGGTCGAACAGGTGTCCTAATCTTTATGGAATCAGCATTCAACATGATTGAAAGCGCGGAACCAATTTATCCGTTAGAAATCGTTCGAAAAATGAGAGATCAAAGATGTTCGCTTATACAAACTCCGGTAAGTTGAGGGTGTGTGACAGTAATGAAATGTTACCTTGAATACAGGGCCACTGAACCAAAATTAATCAATTACATCATAGCGAAGAAACAATTTTTCCAAATAAATTCAATTGAGCCAATCAGTGCCAAGGACCAAAGCAAGTAAATGTGACGTAAATTTCGATGTAACTTATCGCTCGTTTCCAGTAACCTGATTGGTCAGTTTTGTGTAAGTGCTCCAGGTAACGGTGTTTGTACTGTAACGACAACATTTTGATTTCGGGTCGTTCTGAATCTCCATTATTTACTGATTTCATTTTTTTTTTAGGGACAATTTATATTTGTCCTGGAGGCTCTGCTAAAAGCATACGACGGTGAGGGAGACTTCTGATAAGTATTTTTTTTAATTTTACACTTGTGCGTTAAGCTTGATATCATGGCACGGGCCACGAACTTGCGTGACGCACTCCTTGAGTTTTTATTGATTATTTAACTTTTCCTATTTCTAGAGGAGTCGGTGAAACCGTTATAAGTGCCAAGCACTAAAACAGAATCTTTCGCCAGTGAAAATCCTCGACAGGGTTATACAGCTCGATGGCTCAACTATGGAGGTTAACATGAGAAAATTCACGGGGTAGGACCGAACCGACCTTTGAAGGAATCAGAAGGATGTTGAGATCAAAACTTTAAAGAATCAGTGAATCAGTGAGTCACTTCAATATTTTTGGACTCGAGGCAGAAAATTTGCACTGTTGGAAATATTTTCCATCGGCTTTAAGAATTCATCGAAAGAAGACAAAAGCCAAGTTAAACACGAAAGAAAAACTTTTTTGTTTTGCTTCTGTTTGTTTTTTATTCGACGTTCTATTTGTCTTTAACTTTTAAGCGCACAAAACCTTGACTTCATAATTTTGAGCTACTTTTTCTAGCTTTTAGCTAGTATGACTGTCAAAAGACTACGTGACAGTACAAATTTTCGGAAATGCTTACGGCAATCTTTACATTGTAGCGACTTTTACCCTACGCGTTTTGTTCATAGCAATTTATTTATGCATTTTACCCTCATCCATATCATCTTGATGTAAGTATTCCAATTTTTGAGAGTGATTCATTTTCACGTTTTGAGATTACAAAATCGCTTTTGATTGATTAATTGTTGTATTTTCAGCGCTGGAAAAATGAAGCTTTCAAAATTTTGTGATTCTTGTAGAGTTCAACGTCAAAAATTGCTCACTTTTTTAAGAAATTGAAGTCGTCGTTTCTTGTTTAAAATGGAAACTTTTACGTCTAGGATAGCATTTTTGTTAGTCATTTAGTGTCATAAATGACTGCAAGAGAAGTTATCATAGTCATGGTAGCTATACCTGAAATGAATCCCTGAGAAGTACGCAGGAGCAATGTAGTTTTTATCTCCGCTGTTAAGAATTATATGTGAAATGATCGCGTTATGAGGTTCAAAAGAGTAACCCAGCATTTCGCAATTTTTTTTTTTATCAAATGTGCTTTGCCTAAGAACGCTGCCATTTTGAATTCTACTTGGTAACCTGGTCGCTGAACTGTGACGTACAAAGTCGTGCTTATATTTTTTTTCCACCTCATGGCGATCTGGGTTTCAACAATTAGGATTTAAATATACAAGCATTAGTCATTAGTGATCTATTTAATGCGGAGGTTAAAATTATATGGTTTCTTAAACTCTATGTTAACTTGCATATCTTGACAACTATTCGGCATTCTTTCAGCTAATTGAAAGGTTTCAGTTGGGTTTCCTGAACTCCACGGCGTGTTCAGTTAACTTTGCACAACTATTCAGATATTTATACTCGTTAAAAAGTATTTTGTAAAGAATAATATATAGTTCAACAAGATGAAATGTCGCTCTTTAATACTGGAAGTGAAGCGATATCAGTCCGCTCAGAATTTATCATCGAAAAACCTCGCATTTCTAATCTCTGCTGTGGTGATCAGGTAAATTCATTGAATGATCTTGAATGTATGCAGTGAAAGCAACTGCGATTGAATAGTTTGAAGCTTTGAAAATATAACTTGCTCTATTTTTATCACTATATTTATTGCTTTTACCGTACAGAACCGTCTTGTCCAACAATGATCAATGCTTGTTTGTGAAAGTGTCACATCTAATGGCTCTCTTTCAAGTAGATTTGAAAGTAAAAGAATTTTTAAATCATACAATGAGTCTGACTTGTCTTACCGATGCCTCTGTTGATATGGGGGGAGAGGGGTGGGTTTGGGGATGTTTTGAGAGTGAATAAATAGGGAGACGTGGTCTGGAACCCCCGCCTCCGCACTAGACCTGCAAGGTTTAGACCTTAGGGGGTGAATAGATAGGGGGTTGGTCAGGACCCCCAGCCTCCGCAGTAGACCTGTAAGGTTTAGACCTTAGGGGGTGAATAGATAGGGGGTTGGTCAGGACCCCCAGCCTCCGCAGTAGACCTGTAAGGTTTAGACCTTAGGGGGTGAATAGATAGGGGGTGGTCAGGACCCCCTGCCTCCGCACTAGACCTGTAAGGTTTAGACCTTAGGGGGTGAATAGATAGGGGGTTGGTCAGGACCCCCTGCCTCCGCCGTAGACCTGTAAGGGTTAGACCCCAGGGGGTGAATAGATAGGGGGTGGTCAGGACCCCCTGCCTCCGCACTAGACCTGTGAGGTTTAGACCTTAGGAGGTGAATAGATAGGGGGTTGGTCAGGACCCCCTGCCTCCGCAGTAGACCTGTAAGGTTTAGACCTCAAGGGGTGAATAGATAGGGGGTGGTCAGGACCCCTGCCTCCGCACTAGACCTGTAAGGTTTAGACCTTAGGAGGTGAATAGATAGGGGGTTGGTCAGGACCCCCTGCATCCGCACTAGACCTGTAAGGTTTAGACCTTAGGGGGTGAATAGATAGGGGTGTTCAGGATCCCCCGCCTCCGCACTAGACATGTGGGGTGTTCCTTGTTACTTTTTTAACCGAAGTTCTTCAAACGACAGGGCTGCATATTACTTTTCACCGCTAATTATTTGAAATGTACTTATCTTGAAATATTTCTTAATTTATTTAGGCTCAAAAGTGAAAAAGTGTTTTTGAATCAGCTCAAACCCCCTCCCTCCCTCCCCTACGTCAATAACTGATACCTTTCCATCCAGAAGCGCTAACGGTCAAAGTCAGTTTTTTTTTTTTTTATTCAAGTAATCTTCTATTTATGCTCGTTCCAAATTTGTACATGCTTTCGAGATTTCCAAAGTTTCCAAAAGCCAACACTTTGAATTACAACTTGAACGTAATAACGTCTGTATATACACAACAACGAAGAAGCCTTTGAACTCTAGAAACAATTTTTAATTTCTTCGTATCACGGTCATTCGTTATCATAGTCACGCATTATCACGCCATCACTTATATACCATGATCAACCGTACTTATATATTTTAAGGGAAGTTGGCGTTACTTTATTATATTCTTCATTACTTCCATCAGACTACTGGAATTATTGTTTCTTTAAAATACTTGTTATTGAGCTACATAGTAGCAAAGTTTCCGGAACGTTATCTTTGCAAAAATATCGTGGACTTGACATACCAATTTGCAGTATATAATGCATAACTTAATGCTGGTATAATCAACACAACACCATCGTAACCGTGAAGACAACAGATGGTTTGTGCTCAGCTGAATAGAACGCTTTTCGATCGAGTGTCGTAAAACCAAAACAAAGGTATCACATCAACCAATCAGAAGAAAGGAGATTATCCTCGAGAGATACCTTCCTTTAACTTACCAACTATTCTTTATTCTATGGGAACAATGCAACTGCTGTTGATTACGGAGTTCTTTTGGGAATGAACTTAAAGAGAACCTATCACCCCTGTGTTGGTTCACAGGCAGTTTTCAACTTTTGAATGACCGAATCTCGCAAATTACGCATTCATAAATAGTTTAAAACGGCTATGAAACATTTCTTTGAGTACTGGGGGAACTCAACTTGCAAAACCTAATGATTTGAACAGTACTTCTCCATAACGCACTTTCCAAGGATTTTTACTACACAGCTGTCAATCATACTTGCTGTCAATCATACTTGCTGAGAAATTACTTTACCAACAATGAGATGACTACAACTGCTTCGGTTTCTTCGCAAAGTATACTATATCTTTTTACAACATGTTTTGTAGCCTAATAGATCAGTCTGTTTCTAATGATGTTCTGATGCTTGGAACACAACTGAACTGTAACATACTTTAGGATTTAATCGTTCTTGTCAATAACGTGATTATTTTTGTTACGATGAACGAAAGGAGATGGCAACGCCCTCCTAAACCTGAGTCCTCGTATGGTGAATTCCTCGCCTATAGAAAATTTCTTATGTTGCAAGAATCAAACCAGTGAAGGTGTGAAAGGCCCAACATTAGCTACCACATGGTCAAACTGATCTCACCGTATTGTGAGTCCCAGCGGTAGAATGCCCGAGCCATCCCTTTGCTGATCTGGAGCATACATCTCCACTTGCCGTGATGACTGAACGCTGTAGTGACATGCGTAAAAGTTTCCGACTCCAGTCGATTTACTTCTTTGAACTTGTAGATTTTGTGGCCATTCTCGTTTGGAAGGAACGCGGTTCGTCTGCGGTGAGCGCAACGAAGACGGTAGAACAAGGTTACAGAATCATCATTCACCCAGTCTCCTGAAAATTGAAGGGGAAAACTGGTTGGAAAGGATAACTAACTAGCTAATTTCACATCACATCTCTCCAGCTAGGAGTAGAAAAGGATTGCACTCACATATCATCCAAAAGTAGTGATAGTACTCCTGGTTCATTCATGCTAGGGAGACCGGATAAGGCTCCAGCAATGGTTGGAAACTTTTACACTCGCTTACGGACGCACACAATTGATTTGTTACTCAGACGGGACAACCTTTACAATTAAACTCACAGAAGTGATAAACATGCAACTTCTCCCCATAATATCTATTATGTGGCAAACAGGTAATGAGAATACTCAAAGTTAACATGCAGAAGCTGCAATTTGGATCTTACACCAAAATCTCGTGACTGATATATATGAAAATATGTTGTAGTTAAAGGCGAAAATAGCCCATTTCCGAATTACCCTTGGCCTCACTTTCAAAACGAGTCCTGGTGCTCATCTTTTCATATGATTATAAGTTTCATTCACATGCAAATTAAACTCATTTTCACAAGAATGGATGAGCACCAGGCCTCGTTTTGAAAAAGAGGCCAAAAGTAATTCAGAAATGGGCTATTAACAATCCGATCTTGGGAGTTAAGGGTTATCCAAGGCTCTTTTCTATATGTGCTAATACCATTGGGGTCAATGGTACGTTCCATTTCTGAGCAGTCTTCGCTTTGCGAGTCTACTATATGAGGAACTAACTATATATGTATATGTGCACGATCCTTCGCAGTAAAGCACTATTTGAGCAATAGTGAAAATCAGACCTGAAAAAAATTTCAGGCCTGTACGGGATTCGAACCGCTGACCTCTGCGATACTAGCGCAGCGCTCTGCCAATTGACCTAACAAGCCAACTGGGAGCAGGCCATCAAATTAATTCGACATAAACCCGTAGATGATAAATCAAACAACAACTGTATAGATTTGAACTACTGAAACTGATAAAAGGTCTCTGCTCTAATTGAGGAGTAATTCAAAGACAGTAGCTTACCACCAACATGGAGAACATAGGTTATAGGTGCCACAGCTTTGACTTGGAATTCCCCGTATGCTGAAGTTACATCCTGGAATCCTGTCATGGTCTTTTCCGAGATCCAGTGACCTGAATTTACGTAGAAGACTTGTGTAGGGATGTTTTTTACACATGTGCATACCCGGAGGATTCGTTCGGAACCAGGAGGTCCCGGTTCACCGGTGCTTCCAGAATCCCCCTTCTCGCCTGTAGGCCCCTGGGGACCCATTGGGCCTCTCATTCCTCTTGGTCCTTCCTTACCCCTCCAACCGGGGATTCCGTCGGTACCATTGATACCCGATTCTCCGGGTGCTCCTTTTCTCCCACGCCGGCCAATTAAACCTGGTTCCCCCTTTTCGCCTTTGCTCCCAGGGATTCCGTTGAGCCCGTTTCTACCGGGAGGTCCATTTAGTCCTTGGGGCCCGGGGTGTCCGGGAATTCCTCAAATAAGCATATATTTTAAGTTAAAGGAAAAGTGTGTTCCAGAATGTCAAAGTATATCGAACATTCATTAATTAATGCATTTTTATATTTCAAAGAGTAACCTGACCATTAGAAAGTTGACTTCAAATACGTTGAGAAATGGGCGCCGCTATTAAATCTTGCTTAGCAGCCTGGCTGCTTCGTTTGATTACTTCTTGGAGTGTCGAAATGCAGTGAATTGACTTTTAAATACATTTTAGATGACAATTACATGTTTTTTGAAACAGACCTCTCGTTTGTGCATGTTTTAATGCCCTATAATGATACCACTTATGGAAATTATAAGAAATTAAACTGAAAGGGAGGGGTATGGAGAGTCGCTCATCGCGCGGTAAGTGCGACATAAACCCAGAACTAGATCAGGATAACCTCTAAACGAAAAGCTTGACCAATTTGTTTCACGATACCATTTTCAAAGATCGTTTTCGCCGTATAGATTGCTTTACTAGTTGTAAACGAGAAAACTTAATTTGCTCAAGGAAAAAGCACAAAAATTCGTGCGTCAAACTCAGATTCTGCGGATTAATGTGTCTTACTTACATCTTCTTATTCGCAGTTGTCGGACTGAATTTCGATGTTCAACTCACAGCTACTGCCGCCTGCGTCAATAAGTCTAGTTTGAGGTATAATTTGGATATATCAACAAAGTTGAAATGGTAAATTGGCCACCGTAACGATTACAAAAGCTGATGTTTCGAGCGTTAGCCCTTCGTCGGAGCGAATAGACCAATTGAGGGTTGTGTGTGGTTTTAAAAGCAGAAAATGGAGCTACGTTATTGGTGGGAACATGGCAACGAGAAAAACAAGAATAAATTAGTGGAATGAAAAGCGTTCGTTGATCCCTGAGGGATTTAGACTGCCGGTTTGAAAGATGAGCTCTTGTTCAAGATTTTTACGGCTTTCCGTGCTACCTAAGTGTAAGGAAAGACCGCAGATTTCCATATGTTGCCATATGTTGCTTAGAAGGTTTAAGGTATCACTCGTCGGATATCGGCTTATTTAAC